CAACAACAACGTGTGTGCTTTCAAACAAAATGAACTTTTTGGCACCACAATGTGCTGTGTTTACATTTGTTGTTGTTTTTGTATATAATTCCGTTTTTGGAAAGAGGTGAAGGAAAAAAACCTTTCTATTTGAAAATATTGTGACAAAGCAAATCAAATAAATCATTAGTAAAATTCTAACTTCGAGATATTTAGAGGTCTTCTATAGAAGACCCTGTGGTCTTCATATGATTTTTTTCAAGGGATCTATGAAGGCGTGGCTTTTTGTACCCTTCACCACACTGTGGTACAGGGTATTATATCCTTGTGCATATGTTTGTAACAGGCAAAAGGAAACGAGATAGACACATGGTTCCTTTTGAGAATATGCATAGAATCACTTCCTAAGTCGATTTATGCATATCCGTCCGACCGTCTGTCTGTCCATGTTAAATTGTAAACACAGTACAGGTCGCATTTATGATCCCAATTGGATGAAATTTGGCACAGCTCATTTGTTTGGCCCAGGGACGAACCCTATTGAAATTGGGAAATAGACATAGCTCCCATTTATATTTTCGTCCGATTTAAGGTAAATGGTGTACCAAAACCCCTATATATCTTTCGATTTGCACGAAATTTAGTATAGCCTACTAAATTAAGTCTAGAATGATGTGTGCTAAGTTTCGTGAAAATCGGTTCAGATTTAGATATAGCCCCCATATATAGGTTCGCCCGATTTTAGGTAAATGGTGCACCAAAGCCCCTGAAAATTGTTCGATTTGCACGAATTTTGGCATAGCGTATTGAATTTAGTCTAGAATGATGTGTGCTAAATTTCGTGAAAATCGGTTCAGATTTAGATATAGCTCCCACATATAGTTTCGTCCGATTTTAGGTAAATGGTGCACCAAAGTCTTTGAAAAACTTTTGATTGACACGAATTTTGGTATAGCGTATTGAATGAAGTCTAGAATGATGTGTGCTAAGTTTCGTGAAAATCGGTTCAGATTTAGATATAGCTTCCATATATAGATTCGCCCGATTTTAAGTAAATGGTGCACCAAAGTCCCTGAAAATCATTCGATTTGCACGAAATTTAGTATAGTCTACTGAATTAAGCCTAGAATGGTGCGTGCCAAGTTTCGTGAAAATCGTTCCAGATTTAGATATAGCCCCCGTATATAGTTTCGCCCGATTTTAGGTAAATGATGCACCAAAGTCCCTGAAAAGCATTTGATTTGCACGAATTTTGGTATAGCGTAGTGAATTTAGTCTAGAATGACGTGTGCTACGTTTCATGAAAATCGGTTCAGATTTAGATATAGCCCCCATATATGGTTTCTCCCCCATATATGGTTTCTCCATATTTTAGGTAAATGGTACACCAAAGTCTCTGCAAATCTTTTCATTGACACGAATTTTGGTATAGCGTACTGAATTAGGCCTTGAATGATGTGTCCTAAGTTTCATCAAAGTCGGTTCAGATTTAGATATAGCTCCCATATGTAGTTTCGCCGATTTTAGGTAAATGGTCCCTGAAAATCATTCGATTGGCACGAATTGGCATAGCGTATTGAATTTAGTCTAGTATGATGTGTGCTAAGTTTCGTGAAAATCCGTTCAGATTTAGATATAGCTTCCATATATAGTTTCGCCCGAATGGTGCACCGAAGCCACAAAAATTCGTTCGATTTGCACGAATTTTGGCATAGCGTATTGAATGAAGTCTAGAATGATGTGTGCTAAGTTTCGTGAAAATCGGTTCAGATTTAGATATAGCTCCCATATATAGTTTCGTCCGATTCAATGTAAATCGTGCACTAAAGTCCCTATATATCTTTCGATTTGCACGAAATTTGGCGTATGGTACCGACTTGAGCCTAGAGTGATGTCTGCCAAGTTTCGTGAAAATCGGTCCAGATTTATATATAGCTCCCATATATATTTTCGTCCTGTCCTGTTAATATACCCATAGTGCTGAAGCGTATCATATAGGCGGCCCCGTCCGACTTTACTACTTTCCTTTTTTTCCTATGTTTTTTTTTTCAGGGACCTTCACAAAGCATTGATTTTTAAAAATATTTTTTCATGGCTTACAATAAGGCTTGGACTTTTAAAAATATTTTTTCAAGGACTACAATAAGGATTGGATGTTTAGAAATATTTTTTCTGGAACTACAATAAGGCTTGAACTTTTAAAAATATTGTTTTAAGAGCCTTTACATTTTTCCCAAGGACCATAAGAAAACCGCAACATTAGCCACATTTTATTTATTTATTATTTATTTACACTTACTAAGCGAATTGTAATGTGAGGTTGGTCAGTATAGAAGTCGTATGCCAACAACAATACTCACATTCTACTTATAAATTCGTATGTACGTATATGTGTGTGTGTAGTGGGCACGTTTCTATATGGTGGGAGTGTTGAAAAGGGAGGCAGAGAAATTGTTTTTTTGTTTTTAATGAAATCATTTGTGAGAGCGATAACGATTGTAAAAAAAATGCTAATGGCCATTGGAAGTGATGACTTGGACGAGAATTTGAAAAAATAAACGCAACGCCATGCAATTTCATTGCATTGCATTGCCCACTTACCTTGGACAACAAATAGCCTACAAAGTTGAATAAACTTTGTGGGTCGTTGTTGGCGGTTTTTCTATATATTTTTTTATTATTTTCATTTCTAACTTCTATATTTAGAAATTGAAGGCATTTTGTTGTCAAATAATATTTTTTTGTTTTTTGAATTGTTGATTTCAGGCGATAGTTTTTGATGTGAACGAAACTGATCATTGCCACTAATCAATAAATAAGTGAAATATAAAATTTTGGCAATAGGTTTTTCAGAAAATATTAAAAAAAATTCCCACATCTTTACAGTGCTTGAAAAATATTTTTAATTTTTTTCAAAGACTAATAAAATGCGTGGATTTTTAAAAGTATTTTTTTCATGGACTATAGAAAGGCTTGCATTTTTATACCCTGCACCACACTGGGGTACAGGGTATTATGTCTTTGTGCATATGTTTGTAACAGGCAAAAATAATCGAGATAGGCTCATGGTTCCTTTTGAGAATAAGCATAGAATCACTTTCGGAGTCGATTTATGCATGTTCGTCCGTCTGTCCATGTTAAATTGTAAACAAAGTACAGGTCGCATTTGTGATCCGAATTGGATGAAATTTGGCACAGGTCACTTATTTGGCCCAAGGACGAACCCAATTGAAATTGGGAAAAATCGGTTTAGATTTAGATATAGCTCCCATATATGTTTTCCGATTCTATGTAAATAGTGTTCCAAAGTCCCTATATATCTTTCGATTTGCACGAAATTTGGCACAGCGTACTGAATTGGGTCTACAATGATGTGTGTTAAGTTTCGTGAAAATCGGTTCAGATTTAGATATAGCTCCCATATACATTTTCGTTCGATTTAAGGTAAATAGTGCACCAAAGTCCCTCAATATATCTTTCGATTTGCACGAAATTTGGCACAGCGTACTGAATTGGGTCTACAATGATGTGTGTTAAGTTTCGTGAAAATCGGTTCAGATTAGATATAGCTCCCATATATATTTTCGTCCGATTTAAGGTAAATGGTGTACCAAAATCCCTATATATATTTTTCGATTTGCACGAAATTGGCACATCATAATGAATTAGGCCTACAATTATGTGTGTTAAGTTTCCTTAAAATCGGTTCAGATTTAGATATAGCTTCCATATATATTTTCGTCCGATTTAAGGTAAATGGTGTACCAAAGTCCCTATATATCTTTCGATTTGCACGAAATTTGGCACAGCGTACTGAATTGGGTCTACAATGATCTGTGCTAAATTTCGTGAAAATCGGTTTAGATTTAGATATAGCTCCCATATATATTTTCGTCCGATTGTAGGTAAATGGTGCACCAAAGTCCTTATGTATCCTTCGATTTGCACGAAATTTGGCATAGCGCACTGAATTAAGTCTAAAACGATGCATGTTAATTTTCGTGAAAATCGGTTCAGATTTAGATATAGCTCCCACATATATTTTCGTCCGATTTAAGGTGGTGCACCAAAGCCCCTATAAATCTTTCGATTTTCACGAAATTTGGCACAGTGTACTGAATTAAGAGTAGAATGATGTGTGTTAGGTTTCGTGGAAATCAGTTCAGATTTAGATATAGCTCCCACATATATTTTCGTCCGATTTAAGGTAAATGGTGCACCAAAGTCCCTAAATATCTTTCGATTTGCACGAAATTTGGCACAGCGTACTGAATTGGGTCTAGAATGATGTGTATTAAATTTCCCGGATAAGATTTAAATATAGCTTCCATATATAATTGGCACAGCGTACTGAATTAGGTCTAGAATGATGTGTGTTAAGTTTCTTGAAAATCGGTTGCAGAATGACATGTTTATGGATCCAATTTCATTTCACTGGTCATTGGGCTATAGGAAGGCGTGGATTTTATAAAATATTTTCTCTAAAAATATTATTTTCATGGACTGGATTTTTTTTGTGGGCTATAAAATCTTTATTTTAATATTAATTTAATAAGTGGCCATAAAAATGTGACCTTTCTTATTAAAACAATGAATTTTATTTCGAATATATTTGTTTTCGTAGTTTTGTCTAATCTTTTGGAATTCCGTCAAACCACATCATAAAAATGCAAACGAGGCAATAATTTTTGAATATGTTACACACATTAATTACAATCAATATTTTGTAATTGGGCGCCATCTCGTATTAATTCCACATACTTCATTCTGATGCTGTGAGGGAATCCAACAAGAAGATCTCTTTTGTTTGGCATATCTCTCTTCTCTATAGCAATCAGCTGTTTTACTACACCATACCAAGGCTAAGGCATTTCGATACGAATACAGTAGATGACAACAATGAAAAGTAGTGTCAAACAAAACTCGGCTTGAGAAAAATGCTATAAAAACATAAATTGAATAAAGTGATACTTATAAAAGAATTAAAAATAAACAATTTTTATATCCAACATTTTTGGAATATTATAATTTTTATAAAAAAAAGTGAATAAAAACAACAACAACAAATATGGCATTTTTGTGTCCCGTGCGTATGAGGCGTGATAAAAAGAAAGGTATACACATATATGTCCAAAAAGGCGAACCTCCATGTTATAAACAAGTTATTGATGAAGAATGTGGGGGTCACCTTTCCTCTTTACACAACCAAAAGACTTAAGACACATACTTGCAAGAGTAAACAAAACAAAAGACTTAAGAAACAAACTTAATTTTTATTTTCCTAACATTTTCAGCCACCAATGCCAACATTGAACGTGATCTACCCCTACCCGGTGGTGTTACCGTGGGCCTAGGACGCATTACTGGATCTTCGAGCATAGAAACCCTGGTACGTGTTGGCATTGAAAAGGAACACGGCTTAAGTCCCGATTCCAAAATGGTTGTCCTGCACGATTTCACCCCTTGTGTGGATGATGAACTGGAGGTGAAACGTGGTCAAGTAGTCAACATTTTGTATCGGGAAAATGATTGGGTTTATGTTATTGGTGAAGATTCACGCCAGGAAGGTTTCATACCCTATTCCTATTGTGCTCCCTATAATACCCAGCTGGCAGATATGGCCATAAAAAAGAAACTTCCACGCGGGGAAAGCGGAGAGCACAGTGAAACCATACCCTTAATTAGCCCGACGAATGACACAACAAAATTGGATTTAATTGAAGAGGTTAGCAATGCCCAGGCAGCATTAAAAAATGCTGTCGCCGAACTCAATTCCCCACTGCTAATGGATGGGGAGTGTACTCCGTTTCACAAGGAACCCAATGGGCGGTATATTGTCCTCTATACATTTATTGCACGCGATGAAAATGATCTCTCCGTGGAGAGAGGAGAATTTGTAACGCTCCTTAATCGTGATGATGTCGATTGGTTTTGGATTGTTCGCAGTGATGGACAGGAGGGATTTGTGCCATCGGCATTCATATATCCGGCTGATAGTGTTTTGCAGACTCAGCAAAAGTTAATGGAAAATTCTCTGAGTAAATCCAATGGGCAGATATCGACTGGGTCTGGAGCAACCCAAGGAAATTTGAATTCTTTAAGTCAACCCGTTACAATGCCAAGTAATGGTACCACTGGTGTTGAGAATCCATTGCAGACTTCGCAACAGCAGGGCCAACATAATTCACAAAATTCATCGGCCCAAATTCCTGCAGATGATGTTCGTTATGGCACCGAATTGGTTATGCTGTATGATTATAAGGTAAGCAAGGGAAATTTTTTTTTAAATTTCATAAGGGGCGGATTTTTGGAAATATTTTTAAAGGTCCGTAACAAGGCGCGGATTTTGGTACAGGGTATTATGTCTTTGTGCATATGTTTGTAACAGGCAAAAGGAAACGAGATAGACACATGGTTCATTTTGAGAATATGCATAGAATCACTTTCTAAGTCGATTTATGCATGTCCGTCCGTCTGTCCATGTTAAATTGTAAACAAAGTACAGGTCGCATTTATGATCAGAATTGGATAAAATTTGGCTCAGGCCATCTATTTGGCCCAAGGACGAACCCTATTGAAATTGGAAAAATCGGTTCAGATTTAGATATAGCTCCCATATATATTTTTGTCCGATTTAATGTAAATGGTGTACCAAAGTCCCTATATATACTACGATTTGCACGAAATTTGGCACAGCGTACTGGATTGAGTCTAGAATATGCGTGGCGTTTCCCGAAAATCAGTTTCAGTCTCGTCCGATTTAACTTAAATGGTTCACCAAAGTCCCTATATATCTTTTGATTTCCACGAAATTTTGCATAGCCGATTGACACCGAATTTTGCATAACGTACTGAAGATAATTCGGGAAAATCCGTTCAGATTTAGATATAGCTCCCATATATAGTTTCGTCAGAATTTATGTAGGACCCAAAATATGGCACAAATAAGGAACAAAGCCTGCTGAAATTAGTATAATCTAACCTATGACAAGTTTGGTTGAAATCGGTATATAATTGTATATACCTTCTATATCTATTTTCATCCGATTTAAGTAAATGGTGCACCATACTCCTTATGTTTGTAATATTGACATGAAATTTTGCACAATGTACAAAATTGAGCATTTTGATATTTTTGATATTTACTTTAAATAGATTTACATAATTTTGTCCCATTGTAACAAACGAATGGCATGTTTATGGATTGATCTAAGTCGGTTCACATTTAGATAAAGGTCACACATCCAATTGTATGTTAATGACCTTTCTGTTAGGATGCATTCGTTTAATATACCCATAGTGGTGAAGGGTATCATGTAGTGGGCCCAGTCCGACTTTACTACTTTCCTTACTGGTTAAAAATATGTTTGTCTAATATTTTTAAATTATTTCCAAATCCCCATTAAAATCCGGATTCTCTTTCATTTTCAGGCCCAGGCTCCCGATGACTTAAGCGTGCGTCGTGGTGATTGGATATATGCTGATCTAAATAATCAAACTGTTGACGGATGGTTGTGGTCTTATGCACCAAAGACCAGGAAATATGGTTTCATTCCAAAGGCATATGCCAGACCACCGGCCATGACCAGCCTTTAGAAATATAAACTAGAATAAGAATATAATATACAATTATTTTTAATTATTATTATTATATTTTTTATAATACTTTTTTATTAATTATTTTTTCAGCTATAATTATAATTTAAAAAAATATATAGATTTTTATGTGTACAATTTCTTATTTTATTTGTATGTATGTATGCGAGCATTAAAAAGAGAATACATTTCTTTCGAGAATTGATATTATCTACATACATATTTATCATTGGATATAAGGTCACTTTTATGTTTTGTTTCATTATATTATTGCTGTAATGTTATTTTTGTTTTATTTTCGGTTATCCTTCACTCATCCGTACAACTTAAGATTAAATTAACTATTTATAAATTACAAAAAATATATATACGCTTTTCTTTAAAATTAGTCTTAATTGTATTACAGTTTGGTATACGAATTTTATTATAAGATTCAATTTGATAGAAAAAAAAACAAATACATAGTTCTTCTTTTTTGTAGTAAGCAAATACACTTGCAATTAAAAGTTAAGAACAATAGATAAAATGTTTTGAGAACAAGAATACATTTTACTCTTAAACACAAGGTGGATATTTTCGAGAAACAAACGAAAAGAACAAATATATTTAGAAAAAAAATACTACAATTTTTCTTTTGCAATGTATACAGTAGCATATAATATCACTTATATATTGTGTGTGTATTTTTTTATTTAAGAAAAAATAATATGAAACTATTTGTAGCAAGGCTTTTTTGTATTTGAAATATACTAAAATAATTATGTTCAACATAATATATTTGTATATTGAAAGCCCGCTACCAATTAGAAAAGTAAGATTTAAAATAAAACATTTTTTGTAGACACCGTTTACATTAACTATACTCGATTTGGGAATATTATGAATGCCCCAAAGTGTTGCTAGCAGCCTAATTAAAAATTATATCTAAAAAATTGTGTGTTTCTATTTGTGGGATTCATTGTGTTATTCCTTTTTGTTATTCGGCCTCTTAGGCATTTCCATTTGTGGGATTTATATTTAGAGTGCTGCAAAAAAGAAAACAGGAGACCATTAATATAATAAGTCGTGAATTTTTAAAAAATATTTTTTTAAACTATAACGAGTCGTGATTTTTTTTAATCATAGTTTTTCAAGGTCCATAACAAGACGTGGATTTTTTTACCCTTCACCACACTGTGGTCAGGGTATTATGTCTTCATACATATGTCTGTAACAGGCAAAAATAAACGAGAAAGGCACATGGTTCCTTTTGAGAATATGCATAGAATCACTTTCTGAGTCGGTTTACGCGGGTACGTCTATCCGTCCGTCCATGTATTTTTGTGAGCAAAATACAGGTCGCATTCATGATCTGATTTGGATGAAATTTGGCACAGGTCACTTATTTGGCCCAAGGACGAACCCTATTGAGATTGGGAAAAATCGGTTCAGATTTAGATATAGCTCCCATATATATTTTCGTCCGATTTAATGTAAATGGTGCACCAAAGTCCCTATATATCGTTCGATTTGCACGAAATTTGGCACAGCGTAATGAATTAGGTCTAGAATGATGTGTGTTAAATTTCCTGAAAATGGGTTCAGATATAGATATAGCTACCATATATATTTTCGTCCGATTTAATGTAAATAGTTCACCAATATCCCTATATATCTTACGATTTGCCCGAAATTTGCATTAACGTATTGAATTAGGTCTAGAATGATGTGTGTTAAGTTTCCTGAAAATCGGTTCAGATTTAGATATAGCTCCCATATATATTTTCGTCCGATTTAATGTAAATGGTCCACCAAAGTCCCTATATATTTTCGATTTGCACGAAATTTGGCACAGCGTAATGAATTAGGTCTAGAATGATGTGTGTTAAATTTCCTGAAAATCGGTTCAGATATAGATATAGCTACCATATATATTTTCGTCCAATTTAATGTAAATGGTTCACCAAAGTCCCTATATATCTTTCGATTTGCCCGAAATTTGCCATAGCGTATTGAATTAGGTCTAGAATGATGTGTGTTAAGTTTCCTGAAAATCGGTTCAGATTTAGATATAACTCCCATATATATTTTCGTCCGATTAAATGTAAATGATGCACCAAAGTCCCCATATATATCTTTCGATTTGCACGAAATTTGGCACAGCGTAAAGAATTAGGTCTAAAATGATGCGTGTTAAGTTTCGTGAAAATCGGTTCAGATTTAGATATAGCTCCCATATATATTTTCGTACGATTTAAGGTAAATGGTGTACCAAAGTCCCTTAATATCTCTCGGTTTGCACGAAATTTGGCACAATTTCATTTTACTGGTCATTTAAAAATGCGACGTCTGTTAGGATTCATATGTTGAATATATCCAAAGTGGTGAGGGGTATCATATAGTCGGCCCCATCCGACTTTACTTCTTTCCTTACTGGTTTTTATATACTTACTTTAGCATATCTTTCAATTGCTCCTTCTCTTGATGGACATCGCGCAGTTTTTGTTGTAGTTGTAATATTAAATCATTTTTGTTGTTTATTTGCATTTTCAAATGGGCAATTGTCTCCTCTTGTGCTTCAAATATTGCCTACAACAAACATGAAAAAAATATGATAAGGAAATTGATTATTAAGTACGCAAACAAACTACATTTGTAATCTTCGAAAAAATCTAATTTTAAGCTATTTTGATAAGAAACCAAATAGACCACAAAACAATGTGACTGACTAATGTTTATAATTATAAAAATATACATACAGATATATGTAGTAGATATGCTTTTTGTAACGAGCAAATATGAGAATGGTAACACCGGCCTGCTGGTAGCAATTAGCACCATCATATTCTCAAATTAAGGTTATTCAATATGAAATATGTTTGAATATGCAAACGAAATATAATGCAATTCAATTTTGGAGGAATCGAAAGACTAATTGTTGTACTATAATTTAATGGCTTCCCTTTGTAGACTTGACCCAATATTAAAGATTAACACTCACCCTACACTCTTCCATTGATTCGGAATACGAAGGTGGTTCATCCAGACAGAAAAATTCCCTTACCAGCTGACACTTCCGCAATTCCTCTTTACTCATTATGGAATTGACAAACATTTGCAGGCCTTGTATGCGATTATCCAAAAACACCGAATTGAAATTATCGCCGAAAATCTTCTTGCGCGGTAAATTCAGGGTGAGATGTGGAAATGACTGTTTCAATTTCGTATTGAGACGTACAAAATCTGTATAGCGCCTCAGGACGAGCCAACAATCATTTGTATGGGGATTTTCAACACGTAATTTATAGACGGTAAATCGGGCTCGCTCTTCCATAACTTCATAGCCAATTATGGGTATGCGTAATATACTATTTGGATCGACAGGCGGAACGGAATGACTCAGACCACTTATCGATGAGGATGTCATTTCACTTGTGGACATGGAATTTGTACGTTGTGTTCTCTTGTAATTACCCTCGCTCATGCGTCTTTGTGGTGGTACCCCACCACCACCACCTGGGCAGTGAGCCATTACATCTATGTGATGGTGTGATGTTGAGGCATATGAGGATTGTGTTAGGTCACGATGGGATCTTGCACCACTTAACATGTTTGTGTTAGATTGTTGCACCTTACGTGGTGCTATTGCGGATTGTGACAAACGTTTTATGTGGTTGTTGTTATTATTAGAATTGTTGTTGTTACTGGCAGTTTGGTAGTTGTGTGTTGAAATGGTCTTCAGGCAAACCTCGGATTTTGCATTCAACAAAGCACCTTGTTTCAATTGATTTTGACTGCTCAACAGCTTATCGATGTCACCTTCAGACTTGGTTCTAACCAAACGGGCGGCCTCCAAACGGCGTAACGTTTCCGAAGGTTCACCAAATTCCGGGTTCGATTGTGTCAAACGGCCCAGTAATTTATGCTGTTGTTTTAGATTACTCAGCAAGTGATTATTGTGCTTTTTAATGGACGACTGCAAGGAGGTGCCCCCCACAGCACCTTGTTGTTGTTGCTGATGTTCGGTTGTTGCCTGATGTTGGTGGGTTCCCTTAATTGTTTTGGTTAATTTCCTAAATAGACTGGTGCGACCGTTTGCCACGGCCGCGGACGAACCCACAACAGAAGGGGGCAACAATTGATTCTCGCGCTTTTTGATAGCGCGCAAAGACATTTGGTTAACAACCCCCAAAAGGAAGCTCTCAGACCAATGGAATGAAGAACGGCGACGTTACGGGGTAAATGCCGGAAGCAATATTTGCAACAAAATTAGAAATTTGCACAAACAATGGTGGTGTTGTTGGTTACGACTGCGACGTGAAGGTGATGACGGCATCCACTTTGAACTCTTTGGTCTTCCAAAAGAAAAACAAAAAAAGAAAATCCAAAATATAAACACTTCCGACTCCCGACAAAATTATGACAATTCTGCAACAAATTTCGAATATTATTTGAAATGTTACAAACAAATACGAAACAAGAAAAACAGAACGAAAAAATTGAAATAAATAACAAAAAAACTTAAAAGACGTTGATTCTATGCTTTGTGTTGAGACGACGACTTGTATTTGTTTTTCTTTTCTACAGGCTATAGAAAAATAGTGTGGAACAGAGATGGTAAATCTCGTACTAGTGTACTTTTTTGGTGCGTTATTGGCCATTAATGGCATTAAGTACAAGGATTTTAGATTAGTATTCGATTTTTGTTTATCTTTTTCGGATGTTAGGATACAGATTTCGAAGAAATTTAATACAAAATGACAATTTAATCCACGCAACAGGTGTACAGTTCGTATTTGTTGTTATTTATAGCATTTTCATTTTTTCCATCCCTGTTGACAAGTATCCGACTACTTGATGCTAGGAATTTATAGACCGATAATTTACTTTTGGAGGTTTGCTAAAAAATATGGTATAATTTAACCCTTTTGACGTATTAATTAGCGCAACGAAGTTCGCTTCCAATTGTTAGCACACAACTTGCACTAAGTAAACCGGTTTTGATGCAAAATTGATAATTAGACAACTGATTTGCATTAGACTTTGTACTCAACTGCAACAATTTTTTTGTTCACATTTGGTCTGTTACCGTACTGCAAGAATCTACTATTTTTTACTACGATAACGAATTGTCCTTTATGATATCGAAGAAAATAGTAAAATCGAGTAGATTCTTGCAGTACGGGAACAGACCAATTATTAGCTGAAAATAACGGGAACATTGCACTCTTTTCATCAAATGTACACTTCTACACACCATGAGTTAGACTCGTGATAATCAATTTAGGCACAAAAATTGTACCAGGAGTCAGACTCGTGGAAATACGTCAAAGGGTTAAGGGAATATTTAACAAAATCAGCGAGAGAAAAAGATCTGAAGTCGGACGAAACCCACTATGTGATACCCATGGTACAATTATACAAGGTAACTGCAAAACTATAACAAATACAATTCCACATCAACCACATAAAAAATTTGTATTGTATGTAACACTTGTGTCAGTTTAATATTGTTTTATTTTTTCTGGTCCCTATATATTATAAAGCTCAAATTGCGTGGTACAATTATAAAAGGTAACAGCAAATCCCAGCTGATTTGATTCCAACGTAATACTAGTGTCAATATGAATTCGACAAATTATGTTTTGTTTCAGTACTTTTTTTACCCTTTATGGCCCAATATTGCCCACAGGCAACAACGTGTTTTAGAGCCTTTATTTAATATACAGCAAGTGCATATTAGATTATGGACGACATATATCAAAAGAAAAATCTAAAAAATTCAAAGTTTGGTAAAGTTATGAGCTTTTCAATATAGAAAAGAGGGCAAAATGTGTACAGTACCAATAGGTGTATACAGTCCAAATTATTTAAATCGGTTTGTATTCGAATTATACGGATTCTGCCATTAGAAATATTTTTTATTCTTGTAAAAAAGAATATAGAAAATTATTTAAATTGATTTTCCGTCAATTTTGCATTTGGATTTCTTGACATTGGACCTTTATTTAGAATGTACTGCATCTCCCGAATGCTGGGATGTAGCGATGTCAAATTTTGTTAATATCCTATTTAGGATAGTTGCATTAAATCTGTGAACAGAAAATTGTGCTATGATTACGGAAAAAAATCAGGGTTCAAAGATAATTGACTGCCTGACATTATGAATTGACTGACATTATGAAAACGTAAACAAAGTCGAAATTTTTGAGATTAGACTTGAGAAAAAACAGTTGTTTTCCGATTTCGATTGCTACTTGTGTGACCTTATTTATAGATCTTGGATATCACATTTTTGATTTATGTAGATCGTATGGTCACATTAGTTCCGTTCCCAAACCTAAAAGAATATACTAATTTTGAAGTTTTGCAACTTTTTACTCGAAATCCGTTTCTATATCCACAAAACTGCTAAAACATTGAATCAAATTTAATAAAAGTACGTTTAGATTGTATAAACCAGTGGGTTTAAATTACCAATTCCATTGATAAGAGAGCACAAAACAAAATGGTTTTTTTGTAAAATTTTTACTCGAGAAATTTGGCCGAGTAAAAATTGTAAACAGGAATGCCTACTTCTGATTGTCTGTTATGTTGATTATGAATACTGCCATCTAAGTTTTGGCATATTTACTAGATTAGCGTTCCAGAACTTTTTAAATTATTTTGTACTCTGAGAACGATTTTGAAATGTTTCCATTTTACTAGCTTTAATATTAAACCTTTGAGCCCTGATTTTTTCCGTAATCATAGCACAATTTTCTGTTCACAGATTTAATGCAACTATCCTAAATAGGATATTAACAAAATTTGACATCGCTATATCCCAGCATTCGGGAGATACAGTACATTCTGTGGAAGTGTATTTGTTATAGTTTTGCAGTTACATTGTATAATTGTACCATGGGTATCACATAGTGGGCTTTGTCCGACTTCAGACCTTTTTCTCGCTTAGTCTGCTTTTCCACAGGCAAATTTTTATTTGGCAAATACTAAGTTTGTAGGCGAGAGGGGTGCGAGGAAGAAAAACAAAAATTTGCCTGTTCAGAATTTTCCGTACACGCAAATACTGCTTTGCTCTGTTCGTTGAAAACAATTTTGTTGACATTTCCTTTTGAACCTATTCGCTTTACTGACACACAGCCGGCTTTTGTTTACAAACCTGTTGCTTTAATATAATAAAATATATAAAAAATATTAAAAAAAAAATCTTTAAAATGCAAACACTTTTGACTTTTATTTTCTTTCTTTTGTATTTTGATTCGCAAAATTGGCAAAGAAAAATTTGCTAATGGAAAAGCAAGCGAAAATTTCAAAAGTGAAAACAAAAAAATTGCCAAATAAAAATCTGCCTGTGGAAAAGCAGACTTATTTTGTTTAATATTCCCTTAAATTATACCATATTTTTTAGCAAACCCCCAAAAGTAAATTATCGGTCTATAAATCCCTAACATCAAAACAAGTAGTCGGTTACTTGTCAACAGGGATGGAAAAAATGAAAATGCTATAAATAACAACAAATACGAACTGTACACCTGTTGCGTGGATTAAATTGTCATTTTGTATTAAATTTCTTCGAAATCTGTATCCTAACATCCGAAAAAGATAAACAAAAATCGAATACTAATCTAAAATCCTTGTACTTAATGCCATTAATGGCCAATAACGCACCAAAAAAGTACACTAGTACGAGATTTACCATCTCTGTTCCACACTATTTTTCTATAGCCTGTAGAAAAGAAAAACAAATACAAGTCGTCGTCTCAACACAAAGCATAGAATCAACGTCTTTTAAGTTTTTTTGTTATTTATTTCAATTTTTTCGTTCTGTTTTTCTTGTTTCGTATTTGTTTGTAACATTTCAAATAATATTCGAAATTTGTTGCAGAATTGTCATAATTTTGTCGGGAGTCGGAAGTGTTTATATTTTGGATTTTCTTTTTTTGTTTTTCTTTTGGAAGACCAAAGAGTTCAAAGTGGATGCCGTCCTTGTGGTTGTTGTATAAGGTCCCCAAGCTAGAAATCGAAATCGGAAAACAGCTGTTTTTTTCAAGTCTAATGTCAAAAATTTTGATTTTGTTTACGTTTTCATAATGGAAGTCAATTCACAATAATGCATTTTGACAGCAAACTTGAGAGGTATCGATTTCCAGCTGGCCTCCCTGGGTGACCTTATTTATAGACCATGATGAATGACAAACATTAAAGGTCACTCTATTAAACCGATTTAATGTATTTTTGTAAGCAGGCACTTGAAATCATGCAGAGGTATGGAATTAGTTACATGGGATATCAGCACAACTATTTCAAAATAAGTTTTTGGAAATATTTTTGACATATCAATTAGTCTATTCCCGTCCTACAAGAATTTACTATTTTTTATTACGATAATTGGTCTTTTCCTGTTGTTTGGTGAATTTTCCTTTTTAAATATGCCCCACTTGTTACCTCATTAAATGTACTTTGCAATTAATCAAATGAAATTATCGATTAATATAATTGACCAATATCGATTTATGGATCCCCAACAGAAAAAACGTGTCCGTTGTTTTGGGCACTTCGTTTTTTTCTACTTGTCCTTTTTAATTTTAATAATTTAATATTTTCCCTATATATTGAAAAGTATTAAAATTAAGTATGGTGCGACACAACAATCAGTTGCCGGATAATTTGCCGCAACTGCAGAATTTAATAAAACGTGATCCGGAATCGTATAAAGATGAATTTCAACAGCAGTATCGTCACTTCCTCAGCAGTTTGGAAGTGTTTGCCCTTAATCCAACGGAGGAAAATAAATCCCTAGATGAGCTGGTTATGTTCATAGCCCAGGTATGTGTGGGAGCTAATAAACTATTGTAAAGATTTTGTTTTACTATTGACAACTTTCCAGGTGGCTCAATGTTATCCCGAAGTCTGCCTACAGTTTCCACAACATTTGGTGGATCTTTTGAAGAATCATGCCACCACCTTGGATCCAGCAATGCGTAATTGTTTCGTTAAGGCTTTGATATTGCTGCGCAATAAAAATCTCATTCCGGCCTTGGATTTGTTGGAGCTGTTCTTCCAATTGTTGCGTTGCCCCGACAAACATTTGCGCATATTTTTACAAAATCACATTATCACCGATATCAAGAACATGAATGCCAAACATAAGGATATGAAGTTGAATTCCAGTTTACAAAATTTCATGTACTCCATGTTGAAAGATGCTAATCCCAAGGCAGCAAAAATGTCCGTCGACATTATGATCGACCTGTATAAGAAGAATATTTGGAATGATGAGAAGACGGTGAATGTTATTGCCACTGTGGGATGTTTTTCGAAAATCACCAAAGTTTTGGTTGCCTCCTTGAAATTCTTTTTGGGACACGATGAGGAAGATAAGGGTTCCGATGATTCGGATAGTGAAAATGAGGTTGATCTGAAAGGAGCCCTGTTGCAAAGTCGTGTAAACAAAAAGACCAAAAAACGCAAGAAGCAATTGGAACAGTTAAAGAAACAAGCTGTTAAGGCCCAGAAGAAAAAGAAGAATGCTCCCGCATTTAATTTCTCCGCCATTCATCTGATACACAATCCTCAAGGTTTGGCAGAGGGCTTGTTCAAGCAACTGCAGAACAACAATGAACGTTTCGAAGTGAAACTAATGCACTTGGATGTTATATCGCGTCTAATTGGTATCCACGAATTGTTCCTGTTCTCCTATTATCCATATATAACACGTTTCATTCAACCCCATCAGAGACAGGTTACACGTATTTTGCAATTTGCTGCCCAAGCGTCACATCCCTTGGTTCCGGGGGATGTTATCGAACCTATACTCAAGACAATAGCTAATAATTTCATTACCGAACGCAACTCCTCGGATGTAATGGCTATTGGTCTGAACGCCACACGTGAGATATGTATGCGGTGTCCTTTGGCCATGGGTGAAGATTTATTGCGTGATTTGGCAATGTACAAGGCCTATAAAGAAAAATCGGTGATGATGGCTGCACGTTCTTTGATTACACTGTACAGAGAACAGTTGCCAGCCTTGTTGCACAAAAAGGATCGAGGACGTTTGACAGAGGCTCAGGCTGAGAACAAGCCTAAAGCATATGGTCAGGTGGAGGTACATGAGACTATACCAGGTGCTGAGGCTTTGCTCAAATCATCTAAGACCATAGATTTGGGTAGTGATGATGATGACACCGATTCTAATGATGGAGGATGGGTTGATGTTTCCGATGATGAGGATGATGGTGGCCAATTCGATGATGAAGAAGTAGATGAGGATGATGAAGACGACGATGAGGAGGGTGATGATGACGACGAGGAATGTGATAGTGAAAATGACGATGAGGATGATGATGAAGACGATGACGAAGAGGATGAAGACGAATCTGATGAGGAAGAAAATGAAGAAACATCAGAAAAGCCCGAAAAAGATACAAAATCCCCTAAAGACAAAAAGGCTTCCCGCAAAAACTCAATATCATCGACCACATCAAAATCTTCGAAAAAATCACAAAAGTCCACCAAATCTGAAGCGAAAATTCTAAGTGAAAAAGAAGCAGCCCAAGAATTGGCATTGACACGTATTTTCACCGATGAAGATTTCAAACGTATCAACACAGCCAACCTCAAGAAAACCGTAACGAATGCCAGAAAACGTCCCCTCGAAAAGGATCGTCAAGAATTTGTAAAACTCGATAATATTGAAATGATCTATAAGAAACGTAAACACGACAAAGAAAGTCGTCTAGAGACAGTACGTAGTGGTCGTACCGATCGTGAGAAATTCGGTTGGAAAGATGGTCGGCAAAATGAAAACTGTTCGAAGACAAATCGTGAAAAACAAAAACACAAAAATCCTGTTATGATGCGTTACAAGGCGCGTTCAAAGATCAAGAAGAGTTTCCGCGAAAAGCAACAAGCTATGCGCAAGCATTTGTTGCACATTAAGAAAATGAAATAAGATGTATATGTCGTCTATATATTTTATTTTTAGGAAATAATTGTAAACATATTACAGCTAATGTTGAAATAATTACTAGTTATCTATTTAGTAGATACATGATTTTGTGTGTAAGTTTTATAAAATACAAAATGTACCTTTTTTTGGTATTGGAAATAAATATTTTTTTATATTTATTTTTACACCAAATTTTGTTTTGATATGTAAACGGGGGGTTAAGGTATATAATATTACAAAAACCAACTGAGAGCGGAGGGACTAATGGCGAACTTGACTTTTGTCTGACAGAAGTTCTCTGGTGGTTTATCTATTATAGAAGCCAGACCATTATCACAGAATGGGATAAGATGAACGACCCAATTTCGGATCATAGACCCCATTTCCGTGAAAACAAGTTCGAGTGTTTTTTTTTCTAAAGCTCTCTTCAGTTCGTTTATAAAGACTTCATTTAACTGTTTAAAGACTCTCTTCAGCTCGTCTACACAGGCTCCCTCCGACTCCTCTATAAAGAAACCCTCCGAATCGTCTTTAAAGAAGCCGCTCGTCAAAAAATAATCCCTTCAGCTCGTCTAGAAAGATCCTCTTCAGTTCATTCATAAAGACCTCCTTTGAATCGTCTATTAAGGCTATTCAGCCTGTAAAGACTTTCTTCATCCCGTCTAAAAAGACTCCCTTCAGTCCGCCTAAAAGACTCCCTTCAGCTCGTCGAAAAAGACTCCATCGTCTAAAAAGACTCTCTTCAGTTCGTCTAAAAAGACTCCCTGCAGCTCGTGTTAAGAGACTCCCTTCAGTTCGTCTAAAAAGACACCCTTAATCTCGCCTGAAAAGACTCCTGTCAGCTCGTCTCTAAAGCTGATGGGAGTCTTTTTAATAGAGAGTCGTCTAAAAATCATCCCTTCAGCTCGTCTAAAAAGACTTCTTACAGTTCGTCTATCAATACTGCCTTCTGCTCGTGTAGAAAGATTACCTTCGTCCGAATCGTCTATAAAGAATCTCTGCATTCAGCTTGTCTATGACTCCCTTCAGCTCTTCTATAAAGACTTCCTTCAGTTCGTCTATAAACATTGAAATATTCTTCTTTAAATGGTCTCCTTCTTCTTACAAAATTAAAATGCCACTAAATGTTTACAATGTATCCGAAATTCGTTTTATTACTTTTTTTTACATGTTAACATTACAAAAAAATGTTGGTCTGTATTCTTTGTAGCATCTCTTCATCATACATTTGTTTTTTTTTTTTTTTAATTTAACTATATTTACGATATATTTATGGTTCACTAATATGTATTTATGGTTCACTAATATGTAATATGAACTTCTTGTTGTTTCCTTTTTTATACCAAAGATTGAGTGTAGGTTTGTGTGAATGCAAATTAAAGTCTTAAATATAAATGTAAAATACAGTTGTTTCATTTTAGTCATAAAATTGCCATTACGCTCTTTTTTGTTCCTTTCTCAACGACGTCTTTTCTCCGATGACTTCTTCAAACGCTTCGGACCCTTTACAAAACACCAATCAACCTGTATGGCTTGACCCATAATTTCGGCACCATTCAGGGCATCTTTGGCGGCCAAAGCCTGTTTGTGTGTCTCAAATTCGACCAAAGCATAACCTTTGGAGAAACCCGTTCGTCGATCCAAATTCAAGTGGATATTTTTAATGTCACCGAAATCACAGAATTTCTCTTGTATTTCATCCTCCTGTGCCTCTTCGTGTATATTTGTCACAAACAAAATCCAACCCTCTACAGAACGTTGTGGACCGGGTTCCAGTTCATCGTCATCTTCGTGACGTACACGTTCATATTGATGGATGGTTTCACGCGTTGTGGTTTCACTGCCAAAACCTCTGCCTTTGCGGTGTTTTGCCTTCTCTTTAAGGCGGACAATACCCTCTACCCAAAAAAAAGAAAGCTTGTGTTTAGAACATCGCAGAGACTTAACTATTGCAATTATACTTACGATCACCGTCCTCATCAACCTCAAATTCTTCAGCATTATCAATATCCAAAACGTCAGCCATTGTTTAACTTTAGGAAAATGTTAAATGTTTAATTTCTAAAAATTCAATCCAATGTAATGAAAACACGAGTCGGCATCAATTTTGATGACTAGCTACGATGCCGGCGTATTTTTTATGTCAAAGTAACGGCGTTGCTGTTTAGATGATTGACGGCACGTCGAATGGAAATTAAGTGGCTTGGTGACACATTAGTAATTAGTCATTTCACAATAAATACGGTTAACGCAGCTGTTGTTGGAAGTCAGTAATCGATAATAAAACGATGTCATTCATAATGTGTACACCGATTTAGTTTAAAATATTAGTTTAATAATTCAATGTAATTTTCGGAGACTGACAATTGGTATGTTCCCGTACTGCAAGAATCTACTACGATAACGAATTTTCTTTTATGATATCGAAGAAAATAGTAGAATCCATGATGCAATAATAAGGTGATGTATCACAACAAAAACCTTTGTTTTTGTATCGATTATCTGTCTAATTTTTCCATATAATATTTCAAATGGTTGGCAACACTGCACATCGAATTCAAGTAGAAATTACCCACTTTGACAGTTAATCAAGACATCAGCTGCGCTAAATGGACTACCTATTCATTGTGCCATGGTAGAATCTTTTAGATTCTTGCAGTACGGGAACAGACCAAATGAAAAAAAGAATCAAGAAATTTAACGGATTCACTTCCATCCGACTTTGGACTTTCATAAAGTCGACCTGTAGATCCCATATATATGTACCGACGTGAGCACACTTATTGCCGATTTTTCCGACAATACGTCGAGTCGTCGCTGTCGTACACAAAACAAATTAAGACAAGTTCATCATAATAGCTCAAGGTTGAATGTTGTTTGGAATGAAAATCTCCAATATAAACGGATAAAAATAAAATTTGCAGAACGTCTATTATTTTTGCAACGGAATAAATTTTCTATAGAAAAACAAAATAAGGGAGACCACTTCGTCGTCTCGTTGGCAAGGCAATTACAGAAAAATCCGTCAATTGCAAAATAACAGCTGTTGTGTGTGAGATAAGAAAGTTTGAGTGTGAAAAAAACCTAACCAGCTGCAGCCAGCAACAAAAAAGTTACCAACCGCATAACAACAACTACACCAATTATGGCCAAACATTCAGGTGATGCCGTTTTAGATGAGAAGATTGATATGTGGCTGAAATGGGATCGCAATGAAAAGACACTGAATGAAATCCAACAATTGATAACGGCGAGTGACTGGGACCAATTGCGGAAGAGACTTCTAGAACGTCTGGCATTTGGTACGGCCGGTCTGAGAGGATGTATGCGGGCTGGTTTCGACTCGATGAATGATTTGGTTATTGTCCAAACCGCTCAAGGATTGTGTGAATACATCAAGCAGCAATACAAGCCAGATGAATATCACAGGGGTGTGGTATTTGGGTATGATGGTCGTTATAATAGTAAACGCTTTGCCGAACTATCCTCCACCATATTTGTACAAAACGGCATTAAAGTATTTCTCTACAGTCGTATGGTGGCTACGCCATTTGTGCCATTCGCTATTTCACAAAAAAATTGTTTGGCTGGTGTAATGGTAACGGCCTCTCACAATCCCAAAGAAGATAATGGCTATAAAGTCTATTGGGGAAATGGTGCACAAATTATCACGCCTCATGACAAGGGTATACAGCAATCTATATTGGAAAATCTTGAACCCAAAGAGGAATCATGGAATACTGACTTTTTGAAAAATTGCGAATTATTGGAGGATCCCTATGAGGAAATGTACAAAGCGTATTATAAGACTCTATTGCAACATATTCCCCAGCAGTTTAGGGAAATTAACAAAAAACACAAAGAAATGGGTGAATTGAAATTTGTCTATACGGCAATGCATGGTGTGGGATGGCCATATGTTGAAAAAGCCTTTGAGGAAGCAAATTTGCCAGCTCTCTTGCCCGTGGAAGAACAAAAGGAGGCCGATCCAGATTTTCCCACTGTTAAATTTCCCAATCCCGAAGAGGGTAAAAGTTCATTGGAGTTATCGATTAAGAAAGCCGAAGCTGAAGGTGTAACTGTTATTTTGGCCAATGATCCCGATGCTGATCGTTTGGCATGTGCCGAAAAAGATCCCAAGACAGGGGTGTGGAAGGTAAGAGTAATTAAACTATAGAAGAGGTCTCTTTTTTGAGAATAATGAGAGTAGGAGACCAGTAAGGGTGGATTTTTTTTTAATTTTTGAAGGATTAACTACAAGGGTGGACTCTAGAATCTTTTTTTCAATGACAAACATATGACGTGTTTTTTTAAAAAAATATTTTTTTAAGGTGTGGACTTTTTTATAAATGTATTTTTTTAACTTTTTTTCAAGGCGTGTGTTTTTTAAATGTATTTTTTCAAGGAGTATATTTTTATAAAAGTATTTATTTTTTGAAGCCGTTTGTTTTTTAAATATTTGTTTAAGGCGAGAATTCTTTTTTAATTTATATTTCAAGGCGTGGTTTTTTTAATTTTATATTTCACAATAAGCCATGGGTTTTTTAAAATAATTTGTTTAGGGATCCACAATCGGCCCTGAATTTTTTAAAATATTTTTTTAAGGATCTGTCTGCAATAACCGTAGATTTTTTTATTTTTTAACTATTTTACTGAGGACAAAAAAATTACCTTGATTTTTTAAATTAAAGACCATCTTTCTCTTAATGGTCCTATCCTCCACAATTTGTCCTTTGCTTTAATATTGGGCTCAGTTTTGTAGAACACCTCTCCATTCATAACAATGTTTGAAGAATTTTTTTAACATAGGAAAAATTCAAATTAAAATGGGAAGTAATTAAGTTAAGAAGTATAAAAAATGTTCTGAAATAATCCTATGACTTTGTGTACTCAACAATATTTGTTATTGGTTATTTTGTTTCATTAATCATTTCATCCATTAACACATTGACCCAAAATGGATGGTGTGTTTTTGTGACGTCATCTTCATTCAATTATTCAACAAGGAAAAACGGACCCAGTTGAGTGTTATAAATGCGAACACAATTATTGTTATCTGAATGACCGATAATTGTCAATAAAATGCTTCGTGTGAGGCATTCGATGTACGCATATTAATGAAATCTAGCAGCTTTTGTCTTTAAAAAAAGTTCATTTGAGTTTATTTCACAATCAAAAAAACTGGTTGTCGTGTGGCAGAATTTTTTCAGATTATAAATATTATTTTTTTTTGTGTTCTTAACAAACAATATCCATCTCCAATTTAATATTAATTAATATTAAACCATCATATTAATATCTCGTGAAACCTCATAAATATATTTATTTGCATTCAATGATGGAAATAAATTGATTTTCTTATTTGTAATTCATTCATTTGTTTAATGGTATTCAATTTTGCAAAAGGAAATTCAAATATCGTTATAAATATACATCGTCGTTGAAATTAGTATTAATGTAAAATCTTCGCCTTATCAGTATTCGCAAAGTATTTTATTGGAATATTAATAACATGCAATAATTTCTGTCTTAAAAAAAACATATTTCACTTTGAAACTCAGGGGGATTGCCAAAGGAGATAACAATGTTTATTTTTTTTTTTTTTTTAATTTACAATCTATAATCTCGTGAAATGGTTACTATGTATATTTCAAGAGCTATTTGATAGTAGATATAATTAAAATGTTGTATTATACGTTTCTTTTAATGAGAGTTGGCTTGTATTTTTCTTATGGACCCAAAATTAGCCTGGATTTTTATTTCTTTCAAGGACAATCAGTAGGGATTGATTTTACAAAATTATTCTTTCAAGGTCCAACATGGTTTTTTAAATATTTTTTTTTTCAAAAACATACAAATAATTTTCAAGGTTCTACAATAGGTATGCATCACTCATACTTATTCCGAACCAGTGAAATGTTTTATTAACCCTTTTCTCTCTGTTTTATCATTTCCCTCACCCCACAGGTCTTCAATGGCAACGAATTGGGCGCCCTTATTGGTTGGTGGTCCGTACAAAACTACAAAGCTCTACATCCAGATGTCGATTTGAAGGAATGCTATCTACTTGCCAGTACCGTTAGCTCGAAAATTTTACGTTCTATGGGTGAGGTGGATGGTTATAATTTCGTCGAAACTCTAACCGGTTTCAAATGGATGGGCAACGAAGCCATCAAATTAATGCAACAAGACAAACAGGTGTTATTTGCCTTCGAAGAAGCCATTGGATTTATGTTCTCTACCTCAGTGCTTGATAAGGATGGTGTTAGTGCCGCTACACATCTTGCCACAATGATATGCTACCTGCGGGAAACCCAGGGAATTACCCTAACAGAAAAACTACAACAAATCTATGAAACCTATGGTTATCACTGTACCAACTGTTCATATTTGTTCTGTGACAAAGCACCTGTAATCAAAAGAATATTTAATCGTTTGCGAAATTTCCAAGATGGTAAACCGAATACATATCCCAAATCTATTCTCAATGGAGAATTTTCCATTGCAAATGTACGAGATTTGACAACGGGTGTTGACACATCCCAGCCAGATGGTAAAGCCTTGCTGCCCGTTAGTTCCAGTACAGAAATGATAACATTTTCATTTGAGAACGGGTTGGTTATAACACTGCGTACAAGTGGTACCGAACCAAAAATTAAATACTATGCCGAATTGTGTGCCAAACCGGAAGAGAAAAATTGGCCAGCCTTACGTGAAACACTTGATCGTATGGTTAATGCCATAGTTGAAGAATTTTTACAACCATCGCTTAATGATTTGAAACCTAAAAGTGATTAAGATCCTGATTTTTCTTTTCTTCTTTTATAATAAGTTAGCCGAAATTTTAAGTTCCAATCAAATATCGTCGTGCGTTTCTATATGTGTGTATATTTTTGATTTGTTTTGAAAACAACATTTAATTTATGTCTCATTGGACTTTATCTCACTGTGTGTACATAGACATTTTATATATATGTATGTATGATGGAAATATTAACTGGACAATACGCATTCCATTGTGTGTATGCGTTTCTCAAATAGCATTTTTTTCTTAGCAAAAAAAAAACACATTTTTCGCCCGCTGAATTTTTTATTCTATATTCAATTTTATTTATTATTCCATTATACTTTTTTTTTAAACAAAAATAGACTTGAAAACAAATCTATCGGGTAACGCACATTCGATTATATTTATTTGTTTATATAGATATATTTGTATATGTATCTCTTTGCAATGTAGTACCAAATATATTAATAAAGGCATTTAATTTATTAATTATAACATTGATAATATTTTGTTTTATTATCATATCAACAACAAAGAAAATATATCAGAGAATTTTCTACTGGGGAAAAAATCGGATCTGTCAAAATAAATGTAGATTTTTTCAACAAAAAAATATTTCCATGGATTTGATCGATTTTCTAACCCTGTAACAGGCCAATTTTTTACTCACTCCTTCAGAAAATTATTCTGGCCCTAGAAATTTTTAATCAATTGCCAAATATTCAATGCTTGTGTTTCCTTCTTTATCTCTTGACAGAAATATATATAGGAACTTGAAAAGAAAGTATTCTTGAAATTTTTTCTCAACTCTCGATACTTAAGAACATATTCTTTCACACTCGCTATATTGGTACTATACTCTTTAATATGCATTAGATAATTCTTGCTCTTTTGAGGCTTGGATAAATATTCCAAAAAAAACTCCATCCTATCGGTGCATAAAAGTTTCCTTTAAGAAATCCACCTGTAGTAAACATTTAAAAAATGCACATATAAAATATTTTCCTCGAAATCGAAATTGATACACATAAAAACGACATTACTCCACCTACCCAATAGTGACAGTTGCAATCGAATATCTTCATTAATCGCCGAGTTATGTCCATTTGAAATTGACCCTGTGTCAAAATGTTGCTGCTACACGATTATGTTTGCCTAGTACGCCAAATGGGAAAACTGCAGAAATTGTAATTCCACAAAAACAGAAGAAAAAAATGCAGATGTGTTGCCAGATTGCTTGCTTTGTGTTTACATGTTAGTTTGCGAAATTATGAGCATACTTTTAGGCGTTACAAAATGCAGAAAACAATGGGGGCAACAAACACAACTGGAATTTTTCTGTGTTTGTGGAATTGATATACATGGCAAAAATAGCAGAATAACTGAATTTTTTTATAGCAGAATTTTAAACAATTTATTAAGTTTTAAATAATTGAGTTTGTTTATTTAAATAATATTTTTTCAATTACTAGTGACGCATCCTCCGGATTATGACTTTTGCTACAGCAAAAATCCTGCCTCATCGCGAAATACTGGTTTGGACCCCATCTTGACTCCAAATCTTTGAAAAACGGTAAAACAAACCACATTCTTTTTCAATTGTATAAAATTATATATTAGCATTTATTATTAAAAAAATTTCATCTTATTTGATTATATATAAATATAAATACTTTTTATTATTATTGATATAGTGCGTGTTTTGTTTTATTTATTTTTTTTCTCTTTATATCTTACAAAACTAAATATGTATATATTTTCATTTATTATAAAATCGATAAAATATTCTCATTTTGTATATATTTATTTAAAAGCTGCTATATATTTATTTCCTTTTTTTATTATAAGTGTTGTTTTTAGTAAAACTAAAATAATAATAATAAAGAAACAATTTGCTATAAAATACAATTTGAGAAATGTTATATAGTTAACTCTTTAAATGCATGGATTTTCTTATATATAGGTATGTTAAATACGTATATACTTATCTAAAAAGAAAAAATCATAAAAATTGCATTTTTATAATACAAGATTAATTTACTGGCTTGTGTATTATGAAAATGGGGGATTTTGTTTTAATTTCATACAAAGCTGATGATTAATGAAAAGCGTATGTAAAATGATTTTACGAATGTTATCACTGTATATTTTTTCAAATGTTTTTTTTTTTTTTTTTTTACTTCGGGCCCTTGCATCTAAAAGTCTTTAGTGGAATAGAATTGGAGTTAAATATGCGACCTACATATTTAAATCAAAACATAAGCATTTCATTCGGTAATCTGTGCCAAATTTTATGTAATCGGCCAGACTTGGGGTCTATGGTGTACAATTTGTATGAAATCAAGCAAACTATGTATGAGAACCGTATGTAAATCTGTAACGATTTGAAGGACATTTGACATTTGACGGTATACTTCAAAGCACAGTCCGCAGTCGAAATTTCATCAGAATCGAACAAACGTTGCGTATTTCAAACACACACACAGCTACATTAAAATCTGAAAAGAATTAAACGGAACTTGATCAATTACATAAAATCGGACAAAATTATAAATGGACGCTATATCTCTAACTGATCCAATTCTATTGAAACTTAACAAACTTTATTATAGGCTCAAATCAATGCGCTATGCAAAATATCGTCTCGTTCGGACAAATCATGAGTGTTTGGTGCACCATTTACATAAATTGGACGAAAATATATATAGGAGCTATATCTAAATCGATATCAACAAAATTTCACAATTTCATGTAAATCGTAAAAAAATTGCGGCTTTGAAAATTTATATGGAAGCTATATCTATATCTGAACCGATTTCAATGAAACTTAACATATTCTATCTTACACCCAATTCCACACGTTATACTATTATGAGGACGTCTCTATCACCGAAGATGGAATTCCCAACATCATATCTGGCAAAAAGTAATTGAATGCATGAAGTTGAGTCAAGTTAAACCTACAACGGAGGAAAAATTATGCCTGGGACTTTTAATTTCAATCAGGACCTTCGAGCAGCCCCTGAATAATGAGAAATCCTAGACCCATGATCCATATTTTCATCTATTTGAATTTTCCAAAATGTTAAACTAACAGAAGGACTTATTGATGGGACCCATTTTAAATTTTGCTTCTCAATTAAGCATGCGGTTTTAAAAATTTTTGACTCTTTGTGAGAGAGGCACCAGAAGGAGTGGACCGATAGACTATATCTTTAAACATGATATAGATTTGAAAAACGGATCCAAAATCGGAATACCAAAAATTAGAAGTTGGATGAAAGTAGATTAATTTTTGTTGGGAGATTTTTACATCTATTGAGAACACATGTGACCCCACGACAGAGATGTCTACGATCCGAAATGCCACGGGTTTTACTCGGCCAAATGTAACAAATTGCAATTATTTCGTTTTCAAAATGTACCCAAAACAATGAAAATCTGGAGTTGCCGCCAAATTGGTCTAAACGTGGACCGATAATACCAGTTCAATAGTCGACTTAATTAGATCTATGTATGTAATTTTGTTTATATTTATTTTCTCAGTCAATTAAAAAGCTATATGTTCCTTTGAATTATGTTACTCATTCGAGTTTCAAGATAGACTCTTAAAAAATGTGAATCTCGATCATAAGCTTTTTAAAATATCTTCTACTATTTCAAAACATTGGTTTGTTTGTATGAACATGCTCAAGCCGAAAAATGTTTTAGTTCCAAAAATTTCCGTTCTATATAAATTTTTGATGCAATGATAGCTAAGCAATTTTAAGTAGTTATGTCAATGAAAAGGATAAATGTTCAATTCATATCCAGACCCCATATAGATAAGACTCCTAAACAACGATAATGACAACCACACTTATCCTTTCATGGTCTAGCATTTTTTTCCTCTAGATTTTGAGCCATTTAAAAAAATTCTTATAATTTCTTATAAGTACATTGGTGTTAGCGATTAGAAAGAAAATAAATTTTCTTACTTTATAATTGTTTTAAATAATTATAACATATCATTTTTTATACATTCACATATAAAATTTATTTAATTATTTATTTATACAGTCTCCAGCGTTTTTTATTTGTCTTATATGTTAACAAATTTTTGTTTCGAGTATAATTGGATAGGTAAATTTGTTTTGTGTGGCGTTATAATAGTGTTTATAGTTATTGGTTAAGTGTTAATGAATGAATTGATCTTAATTGTTCTAAGGTAATTGGCGAATTTGTTATATGTATTTGAGGGAAATTGTTTTTTGCTTAGAGTTATATTATTAATAGAATTTAAAATAACAGATACTGTATAGAGATATATATGTAAATATGTGAGCTTTAAATTTAGGATTATTTGTTGTTAATTGTTATTTCTTTATTGTGTTTGTTAAAGGAATCTTTGTGTTCTATTTAATGAATAATCTACAACCAGGCTATATAGTTTGTTTGCCATATATATAAATGCTTTTTGTTAGTGTTTATAAAAAAATAAGGGGACATTTTTTAGAAATGTGTTATAATAAAAATTACAAGATCATAGCTTTAATATATGGCCAGAAGTTCATAAAAATTTATAGAAATAAATTTCTTAAATGGATTTGGCAGTAGTACACGTTTTATTTTATTTTTACATAAATCTGTAAATAACTCTTGTCTCAATTTGTCAAGGTTTAAGCTTAAAATAAATGTGGCAGTTACATTTAAACTACTTACTTATATTCTATAATAAAAATGAAATGCATATTAAAATTTTCACTTAAAATTTTGTAGAGACATTCATTAGTGTAGAATCGAATTAAATCAAAAAAAATTGGCAAATTATTTGATTGTTTAGGATTAAAAAAAAAATAATAATAATAAAACTTGATCGCCACATATGTATATATAGCATTGGCAGATTAAATGAAAATTTAATAGAATAGAAGATATAAGCCGCTATTAAATATACATACCCCATTACTTTGAAAGGAAGTGGACCGTACCTTCAAACATAATGTAGGCTTCAGCCACCGATCTTCTGGAGGAAGTTGATTAGGCTGGGCAGGACAATTGAGTGCTGGTGAAAGTATTCATTTTGTATTCAATCAGCGCTTCGGCAGCTGCATCAGTATGAATGCTATTTAGACCTATTCGATAGGCAACTCTCTCCTCTGGACTTCTCTCTTTAGATAATGACAAGTTTTACCATTTTGGACATTTCGTACCAAATTTGGTCCAAAAAAGAAATATATTTTCAATTTAGTCCGATGATTGGTCATTTTGCTCCATTTCCATGCTAACAATTTTGAGCGAATTTCGCATAAATTTTCAAAGTTTTTCCGAAGAAAATCTTAATGTTTTCCTCTTTCTACGTACAGTTTGGTATGAAATTATCTATCGAATGCAAAACTGTTCCTGACACGTCTAGGTGGAGTTTTATCCATCATATCCATCAGCAGGTGCTCCAACGAAGTCATATTTCTAATGTGACGTAAAGGAAGGATGTTCGTCTTCTCATGAAGATGGTCCACAGGTGTCATGAGGAAGCACCTGTTGCAGTTGTCAGTATTGGCTAGACGCTTTATAAGAGATCAAAAAGGGTTCCTTGTCTGCAACCCAAGTAGGTTTGGTAAAACTATTTTGCTGTGCAATGTTTGAGTCAATTTGGATATGAAAATCCATTTGGAGGTAACAGAATGGATAAATCGATGAGTTTAATAATCGATTTGATAGTTAAAATGTTATGATGTGAAATGTTTATATCAATTCGAATACTCAATTAAATAGTTTCGGAAATTTACAACTTTTTTGGAGGGGAGATTCAATAGATCGTTTGTCGCAAATCATTTGCAAATCAATAAGTTAGAATCAATCGCCAATTTTTTGAGGATCTTTATCCAAGTTTGAAGCAAACTATATTGGAAAATAGTCGAGCACACAAGCAAGACTCCAATTTTTTCGGAAGCTAATTTAATAGAAAGACACTTAGGGTCTTATATCGTTATTCCAATTGAGCAATAGTCTTAAAGATGAGGGTATAACAAGTTAAATGAAATTATTTTTAAATAAAATAAAAATTTTAACAAATTAATTTTAAACTGTTACATTTAAAATTACAAAAGTCTTTAATTTTTTTCATTCAATCTGCAAATGCTATATATAATAAAAATATAATATATAAAAAATGATAGGGCAAGGATGAGTATTTGTTTTAAAATAAAAATATAAATTTGTGTAAAAAAAGATCAAGGACCAGCCATCTATTATTTTTTCTAAATAATTAATATATATAAAATAATACTATTTGGAGGGAATTATAAAAAAGTGTAGCAAGTATAGGGCTTTGTTTGTTTTCTTTGCAGAAATGAGTATTTTTCTAGAGATTTTTTGTTGATTTTGTTTTCTTTTGATATGTGATTTGTAAGGAATAAATGAGATTTAGGTTTTTTTTTTCTTTCAATTAATGAAAAAGTGATTATGTAAAAAATATGTTAATACACTGGGATTTATGTTATGATGTTGAGCGTATAAGTTTTTTGTGTTGTTTATATATGTGTGTAATTATACTTATATTTAGAAAAAAATAAAATAGTAATAAAAAATAATGCCATTATAAATACACGATGACCTTATAGTGTATAATAATCAATTAATTTTAATTACCAACATAATCAGACAGGCGCATCAGACGTTTTCTATACAAAAACATGCAAATAGGATGACTGAGTTACATTACTGTGCGTCGGTGTCAAGGTGGGCGTCTGTGATTGCTGTTGTCATACCGATGTCTCCGAATTGAGTTTCAATACAAATTTATTACTCTTGGGATCGACAACCTCCTCGGCTATATTGAAGTGGGGTAGTTTGTGTATGGATACCATTAGCGAGACGTCGTTTTGTATTAGCTGGAAAGTGACATCTCCGGCAACAGGTCGTGATACCAGCTCATCACATATCAGAGACCATGATTGTACCCAACGTCGTTCCTTTTCACTCTGCATGACCGGCGCCTCAGTGAGATATGGCTCAAGAAAAGCTCTTGGCGACAAATCATGTTTCAGACAGTGAGCCAAGTGCTTCAGTATACTTTCAAAGGTGTGACGTGGTTGTTGTCGCGTTACCCTCAAATATTTTTGCAGTGCCCTGGCCATTGAGGGAAATACAGCTTGGGCAGCTTCATGGGGATCTAGAGGTACCGCCGGTGCCGGTTCATTATGTATACGTTTGACATGGGTGAAAGCCTCCTCGGCCGCCGTTATCAGACGTGCTCTACGCTTCTTAACCCTTCGCTCATATTCATGCTCCTCATAAAATCGTTCATTGTGTGAAGAATCTCGACGTCTTGCATTTGCCGCCAAAACAGCACGACTTTGACTTTGTTGTTGTGAATTATTTACACCATCTACTTCGTAGTATTTGAAACTGGTTGTAATTTTATTTCTTTGTGATTTTGAGATTGGTATACGTTCCAAATATGGATTATAAATGGGAAAATCCACGTAGTAACGTTGTAGGACCCACACCGCAGCACGTTGTATACTCAATTGACCCAGAGTGTAGGATCGTGAAACGCCGTCGGGTGATCGTATTATTTTTACATAATACATTGGTTGATTGTGACGTAGTTCCAACAGCACTACTGCAATATAATGTATAAAGAGTAATGTATCGACGAGATTGGTAGCATAGGCAACAAGTGATTTATAGTCGACCGCATCTCCGCCAGTTTCAACGACAATTTTTGCTCCATTTGTAACCTGAAAAACAAAAACGAATTAATATGGATGTTTTAGTTTTAAAAAATATATATTTGTAGTGTAATTAAATTGAGCAGAAAATAAGAATTTGGAGGACGCCTTAAGATAAAGAGGACCCGGTAAAAAGTTCTAATGTATATGGTGTTTAGGTTTGGTAGAACTATAACGATTTACAAAGAATTGGCCATTCAGTGGTAATGGGGTAAAGAAAAGATAAAATATTCGGATGTAACGTAGATTTTATAAAAATATTACGATATGCAAAATTAAGATAACTTCGAAATCTTTGGAAACTCCCCAAAATCTGTATTTTTATGTTCCTCAAGGACATATGCAGCGGTTTTTGGTGCCTGGTGAATTTCCAAACTATATAATTAATGTTACTTGTTTTAACTGGTTCTATCAAAAGGATTCCTAGGAGACTCAAAGTTTGAGCATACTATCCAATGATTATCTCGATTACAGCTACAATTGCGGAAGTAATAGACAGGTGTGTGTGGCGTTTACGACTTTCCAATTATGCATAATATACACCTATATGAATAAGTTCAGCTACAAAATTACAATTAAAACCTAACTACATCTAACAGGATAACCAGGTAATTAATCAGCAGCAAATGTTTTCAAAGTTTCCAGCATGTAGTGTGCTTGAGGTTTCCTGATTAATATTATACACTTTATCGCATTTTTCCCTGTTATATTAAACATGATACCGCCTATAATTGATAAATAAAAGGATATATTCAAAAATATTCAAACATTTTTCAATTCAGCTGGTGGGTTGAGGTTTCCCCATTCAAATAGCTAGCATTTCACTTCTTCGCGTTTGAAGATATTCTACTACCAAGACAACAAATAATATCCCCCGTCAAAACTAACAGGATACATAAAAACTAATTTGTCCTTAAATTGCATGCTTTCATTGTCTTTGAGAGGACATCGACAACAGCCGCCTTCAAAAATATACAAACAAATACCAATAGTAATTACATGTCTATCTACTTCAAAACATTCATTTATACATACCTGTACAATATAAAACAGCCAATATGCAAATGTACTCAGCGTTACCAAGAGCAACACAACAGCCCGATACAGAAATATGCGAGGCATTGTTGCCGCCGATCTTCGCATAAACAAAGCCCACAAACCAATTGCCAACAGCAATAATCGTACCGATATTGATATCAAAAGACCTTTACATTCACTGCCGCAGGCCAATAGCTGAGTTCGCACTGTCTGCGTTAATTCGGGATGATCGAAGGCCGATGGGAAAAATCCCATATGGGGCATTACCACCATGGCCACGGGTGAGAAGAAGGCACCAAAACCGAGCAGAAATGAAAATATCGATTCCAAATAACGTCGGCATTTGAAACCAAATCCCGTATCATTCATTTCACGATGCCAGGCATTGTTGATGTCTTCCATGGATATGCTTTGCTCGGATGTGTTGCCCGTAACCGCTGTGGTGTTTTCACCCCAGTTATCATCCTGTGGCAATATTTGTACCTCGATAATTTCTTGACCATCACGTCCCTCCTCACCCGTCATATTCACAGTTGTCTGATATGGATTTAAATCACTGCTCCGATTACTTTTGGACTTTGAATGGGAATTGCTGCGATGTGAATGCCTTGTACGGTCACGATGATAGCCATTGTTTACAGATCCACCACCGCCATTGCCGCCGTTATTGTTGTGACTTCGTGAACGTCTGGAGCGACCACTTTGTTCTGACTTTACAGATTCGTTCTCCATGCTAGCTGGCTGGCTCCACTACTCCAGACTAGGGCGTAATATAGCGCCTTAACTTTCCTTCGACTCCTTTGAACTGTTACAGATACCACACACGCCCACCTTGGCACCTGTTACAATTTCTATCACCACCTTTCCCTCACACTCTTCAATATTTTTGTTTTTTTTTCTGTTCACTTGTTTTCTTTCGTTCGTTTGCCTCAACAAAAAAACAAAGGGGGAAAATAATTGTTTTTTTTTTTACCAAATGAAAAATTCTTTCACATACACAAACACATTCACATATTCCACGAGCTAGCCACTGAACTCGACAGGTAAAAAAAGCCAACAAACACACACACAATGTGTTTAAGAAACACCAGAATGAATGACTTTCCGTCTACTTGACTTCACTTGGCCGTAACGTTGTTGTGTTCTTTTTGTTGTCGTCGTTGTTGTTGCTGCGCTGTGGCTGCAACCGCATTTACTCTTGTAATTGTGAGGCTTTTTCTTGTTTTCTTGGTCGGTCGGTACGTTCGATTATAGACAACAAAAGAGGAAAGTCCATGAAAGAGGGTGAGGGGTGCGGTCGTTGTATAGATGTTTTTTTATTACATTTTTCTTATGTACATTTCAACACGTTTTTAACACTATTTTTTATATTTCTATTAATTTTCTATATACATTTTAGTTATATTTATGTTTTTCATTATGTTTTACATGAAATTTTGGCAAATAATTAGCAAATATTTAAACAAATTGTAATAACAAATTCCCCGTCTACCGATAGCGTAAAGTTAATTGAGTATTTTTTCAGATTACGATAACACTAGATGTTTGTATGTTTGTACTTATCGATAACAGTGTTAATTTGGCCAAATAATAAGGTCGTCCGATAAGGCCACATGATTTTACCCGAGCTGTCAAAATGCTTTCAGTGTTGACGATCTGTTTATTGGGACATCGCTTTGTTCTGTTGCACACATGGCCCAATAAACAGGTCGTGTAAGAAACAATCGTTATCGGCATTTTTGAATTAAAATCTCCCTAACTGTCAACATTTAAAGCATTTTGACAGCTTATTGATTGCACAGTGATATTCGTACAGGACAAATACATGCCAAAAGAAAATGTATGTCTTTTGAAAACACAGACAATTGCTGATGTTCAACGATCAGCTGTTTAGGTTTGTTTTATTTGAATAGGCGCCTTTTAATCAAAAATTTAGTCGAGACACACGCTGAACCCTTACGATTTTAAATGTCAAGTCTGTAGCGTATACGTCAAATTAATTTCACTGAATTTATAAATAGCATTTATTTCACTTTTCTGCTATGGAATTGGCATTTGAAATCAAATTGATATTGTAGCGTACTATTTTGTCAAATGCATTTGTAGAGTCTTAAGGTTTCTATGTCTTTACTATATGGGAAAAATTGACGTGTGATTCTTCTTGATTAAGATAAACTCTTTGTCCCTTATGATATTTCTGTCCCGCTCGATGAACCTTTGTTGATTCTCCTTGAGTTGTGAGTCATTGGTATTACCGTTGCGTTGACCACTGTTGGCGTCATACTCAGCTGTCATAATCGAATCATTCCAGTGGTAATTTCCTTCAATAGAATAGCTCTTTTGAACTAGCTCATTCCGAAACTATAGAGCTCTTTTATTTGACATCAAGTGAATAATCGGAGACATCGATGCTATCGATATTATTATATTCACAAGGATGGAAATCCAGCAAGCAAAGAAAGAAGAATAAACCGAGAAAAAAATACAATTAATTCTTTGGACTCGGACTCATCAGGAAGGATTAATCTTAGCAATTCGTCATCGCCAAAAATTCTAAACGGCCCAGAATTCGCAATGCTTTAAGCGGTAACGAAATATAAATAAAGTTGTTAACACCTTCAGAAGTTGGTCGGAATAGGAGGGCCGGTGAAGAAAATAGAAGTCTGTTTTAAATTTAGTTTTGCAGAATAATTTCCACATATCACAACAAATATAAAACAATTTCACACGCAACAAAATGAATTCCGAAATATTGGCTATGCATGATGTGGATTTGGAGGAGGGCGAGGTAGGTTCATCGAATGAAAATAGTGCATGACAACAAATCGGTGAAACCGATACGAAATTGTATTTATGGGTCAAACACTCTTTTTTTCTTTTAGCTCTCGGATAGCTCTGACGAAGTTTATATACCACTTCAAAGACCAGTATTGACCAAAACAGCACCATCAACACCCACACCTGCCTCAAATCATTATGCGAACAAAATGGACGATGACTTCCAGGGTATAGGGAATAATGCAGCAGCTGCCGATGCAACAAACAACAACAATAATGATGATTGTCAAAGCGATAGTTCAACTTCATCATCGTCGTCAGATGATTCGTCGGATACATGCTTGAGGAAGCTCAATAAAGAGAAGAAGGCTCGTCCCAAGAAGCACATCAAACGCACCGTAATGGTACGCATAAATGCCACGGCCCAAGATGGGTCAGAACAAAAGAGATCACGCTTTAAAAAATATGACATTTGGACAGCCGCACTACAGGAAGATGCCTTAACGGAGAATATGCGGGGTTGCGATGTCACCCAGAATGGTTTTAATGATCGTAATGTTGAAAATTACGATTTCTCGCTACACTATCGCCTCAATGGTGGTAATAGTCTGAAACGTCGGCTTTCCGGCGATGAGGACTCTTCGGATAATGAACCACAACAGCCACAAAATAAACGTCAACGACCATCAAGTCGTGGCGAATGCCACAGCCGACCTTCGTCTAAGCAATCGGTACACCAGCGTTTGGGTAAAAAGAGAAATGTTCGTGATAGCCGTTACTCGTCAACGAATAGTTCGGATTCATCGTATGAACCGCGTCTCATTGATGATCTTGAGGAAATTGGTGATCGCAGTCCATTGGATGTGGCCCGTGAAATGGCCAAAAAATTGCATGAGGAAAAGGATGATTTAATAGGTAAGGGAAGATAAATAAAACATTCTCTAATATTAGAGATATGAAATGAATTGTATTTTTGTTGGTGTATTTCTTTTAGTGAGAATTGTGGATATACTGGGTCTTGAATTGCCATTGAAAATTTTCAAGGAAACCCAGCGCATTGAAGCTGATGGTGGCATGACTATTAATGTAAATAGAGAATTCCTATACGGTTTAACATTTAAATGAAACCTATATATTTGCCTCTTCTTTCAGAATGGTCAAAGACGTCGCACCCCCGGCGGTGTATTTCTATTTCTAATCAAACATAATGATACCATAAGTGCCGAAGATCAAAAAGCCATCTTTTCCGAAGATCGTACAAATGCCAATAAAAAACACAAATTAATGAAGACCCTAATGCGAGAACGTAAAGTTGAAGAGCTGAAGAAACGCCTTAGCGAACAGGGAGCCGAATTGAATGCACCACCACTGTGTACGCGCAAAGAGCTAATGTTAATGGGCGATGAGGCATTAAAGGAGCAACAAAAAGGCAATCGTAAGTGTCAATGTTTCTAACAAAAATAAATATTGTTTTCTAATGAGATTTCTTTTTAGTTTCTAATCCTCCACCATCACCCGAAGCAGCTGAACAAAGTCCCGAATATAAATCCCTACCCATAAATGTTGTTAGCAATGAAACAGTGGAACAGCCATCGGAAAAACCCTCAACCTCTCGTGGTGCGGTAGATGTGGATGAGCTGAAAGCATACGAAGATGATTTTCTAGATGTTCATTGTGGTGATATGGATTTCTTTTGAAAGTAAAAAAACCGCAACAACAAAAACTAAACATATAAATACTTAGATAATTTTCTATATATTGTGTATAGGCTTTAACAAAAATGTTTATTTTTAAAAAGAGAATTTCACCATGCTGAAATGTGTAAAAATACAAAATAAATGTATAACAAATGATTTGTTAAAAGAAATTGAATTTTTTTATATATTTAGGAGCTATAGGTCTTCTAAGAGAGAGACCTACCGGCCTTTTAGATAAATAGAAGACCTAACGAGTTTAAACAGGCTTATGACTTTTCCACAAAATGAAGTCATATTGCCTTATCTGTAGAAAGTCTATTTATAGTGAGCCTGTATATCTTACATAGATTGCTAAAATAAATTATATAGTTCGATTATATTTTTTGATTACCCTGTGGCCTATTTTCTATGCAATAAAACTTCCTGTAGTAAATTCAATTCATTTTTCTTTTATTAATTAAACGAAATAAACTCTTTATGTATGTTATAAAATAAACACTATGCTGTACACAATTTGTGCTGTTGTACATATTTATGTGATAAATTCATGCTGATAATATATATATATATATATGCATTAATTAAAAAAACCCAACAGACGATTTCCTTAACTAGTTGGATATGTAAAATATAGATTTTTATATGGTCTCAATATTGGTTTGATGATAACTTTGCTTTGGCCCAGCGAGTTGACGGCTGAGGTAAGGTACATATTTCTAAATAATGTTGGATTTGAACTGGTTGTGATGAAATTTGGTATGCCTTGAAATAATCAAATTAAATAATAAATGCATTAAAATTAATAAAAAAAAAAAAATACATAAATACGTGTGATGATCACATTGTGAGGTTATATCTGCAAAAATACACTGTATGCAAACAATTCTGCCACGGAAATTAAATATATGTAAGCCTTAAATCACTAAAGACAAAATATCTATGGCGAAATTGATGTCAATATCATTAGCATAGGTATTGGAATAATACCATGTAGTTTTTTTATTTTATTTTTGTAATTTGTAATTTATCTTTAATGGGCCGGAAGGCTTTGAATTACAAGTTAAATTAAATTGAAAATGATTATTCCTATGACATGACACTACATATATCATTTATATTTAAGTTTGATAAAATCAATATTCTATAAAATGGCTGGAAAAAATTAATATATTAATATTTGAAATTAAAAGTTAATGACAAATTTATTTACATATTTCATGACTGTCAATGGCAATTCTCTAAATTTAAGATTCTTAATTAGTACATGTATAAAATGGGAAGTAATATTACAAATATATATCTATAGTAATTGTTATCACAATTTTAAATTTGGGATAGTAAAAATTATATCTATATTATTTTTTAATTATTTGTTTTGTCCGTAAGATCTACTTAGGTATCAAAATGTCATCATGGTATTTGTGCTATATAATTTTATTTTTTTTAAGAATATCTAGAAAACTCTCGATATTTCTTATATTTAATTGTTAGATATATTTATGGTCCATGTTTATTGTTTAATAATTACCTATTGGCTGCAGAGGACTACCAGGTGGAGGCGAAGGCGAGTCTAATGATATTATTTCGTTTTCTGAAAAAAAATAAAAAAAATAAAAATAAAATGAAATTTAATTTGTTTTTTTTTTTTTTTTTTTTTTAATTTTTTGCATAAATAGTATTGAATCGTGGTCTACGATAGTAGCTCCATAACAAGTTTTCTATATATCCATGAAATTCTATAGGATTTTTAAAAAAATATTTTTGAAATGACTAGTATCTCTTCTTCCTCCATGTTTGGAGTAGGTTTTGGGTTATTTTGGTTTGGGGATGTGCAGTCACTCATGTGGCTGCAGCAGCACTCTGAGACCGTCAGGTCCATTGTGATCGTCCTCGAAAAGAAAAGAGATAAGGAGAGATATATGGGGGAAATAAAGTAAGATGAGAAGCTTACAATAATATGTAAGAAGGTAAGTTTGAAATAGTATCGATGGTTATAGAGATCGGACAGAAGATATATTACGTGTCAAGGTTGCATTTTCCCAACTACTTTAGGTTTCTAATTATGATGCAGATTAGAGAAGGTTCAGTTGTTGAGAAGTAGCTGAGACTCAGTGGAAAATGAGCACCCACTAGTCTGTGCCGTATATAAGCCTGGGCTTAATTGTATCATGATCCCATTTACTAGTAAATACCCTGATATTGCAATGACCAGTAATAATTTCTGTCATTACTCCTAGGACGGCCTCAAATTTGATATAACAAGATTTGATGGCTTTAAGAGCCGCTTGACTATCCACGAAGATGGTCACCGGTTCAACGACCTCTGCATCCTACTTTTTATCAATTCCGCTTCCTTCCGAATCTCGAAGATTTCAGATTGGAAAACACTACAGTTGCAATCCAGCTTGTAGGTTAACTCAAGGCTTAGCCTTTCACAGTTCAATATACAACCATGCCCAATGGTACAACATCGCCAGAGGTTTTTGTTCATGCAGCCTTAGGGCGCTACGTGCGACCTGACACTTAATGCTGAGGCCCAGAGGCTTTAAGTTCAGCATTGCGTTCAGAGCTGCTTGTGGCGTGCTCATCATGGCTCCTCTTACTAAAATCGAGGCGGCTCTTTGTACCTTATCTAAATTGCTGGATGTATGTATATCCTTAGGATATGATTTGTGGAGGTCTACGGAATAAGACACTGGTTTTATTATTCGCTTTAAATAAGGTATATGTTGTATCAAACAGTTGACCATCTTTGGAGAAGTATCCTATCATAGGATTTAATATAGGTTTGAAAAAAATTTGAATAAAATGAGACATGCTATTATCTTGATATTGGATTAACAAATGTTCACACTTTTTTGTATCCTACTTTTTATAGGTTGCAAAATGATTATATATGTCCTGGCTCCTATGATTACATTTATGCCACCAAACCTACTAAACTCAATGCAGAGAATCTCTGGCCTCAAGAGCATTTCTAAAAAAATGGATATTGGAGAGGAAAGTACAACACATAACATAGACATTAAAAATTAAATCAATGGAAAGTCAAATTGATGAAAATGAGTGTAATAAGAAGAAGAAAAGTAAATAAACCATTTCATTAGCTTTGATTCTTTTGTATAGCAAACCAAGTATTATTTAGACCGGTGGTAAGTTTGATGTCTATATTACATGAAATAAAACAACATTTTTTTTTGTTATATTACTTTACAATATATGTTAATATATTTTGTTTATTTATAGCAATATTTTTTTACACAAAATTAAAAAAATGTCGAAACAAAAATATGGTGTCATCTATGCATGATTTATATTTCTTATATGATGATTAAAAACTAAGAACAATTAAATGGGGTTTTTTGTTTTTTTGGTTTATTTACATTTTATTTCAATTTTTTTATTATATTTTTCTTATACTGTAGCAGTATTATTATATGTATGTGTATTATACTTTTTAATAGCAATATATGCTTTACTTTTTTTGTTCTCAATAATAGGATTATGTTTTTTATTGCGCTTATTTTTATTTTCTTATAGTATAGTTTTATGTTTTCCTTTAGGATGTTTTTTTTTTGTATTTATGATGCTTCAGGTTTTTCTATTCATTTTTATAAAATAATGCGGCAAAGTGGTTTGCTTACCTATATGTAATTTAATAATAAGAAAAATATTTTCAAATATGAAAGAAAAGAAAAAAAGGGCGACTGAAAATTATAAGAAAATAATATTTAAAAACCAAAAAAGAAAAAAATTATTATTTATATATTTACTTAGACGCATAAAAAATTAAAATAACAAAAAATGAAATGATTTCTTTACTTGGTGTTGTTATATTTTTCACCTGTAATTACAATAAATAAAAGTGTTAAAAGATTGTAATATATTTAAATAGCAGTTTATAACATTTTTCACTTTAACCATTGTTTTCCCAAAGTCTACACTTTACCGGTTAGAGGAGATTCTTAACAACTGAACAAATTTGAATTATCCGGCATTATTACCTCAAACTCTACACTCTTCACTGTAAACACCAAACACCCTTTCTTAGAGGAGATTCAGGCCAACAGAACTATTTTGAATTATTTATCCCGCAGATAGTGAAATATTAAATATTTGAGTTTTAAAAATGTGAGTTGTTTCTACAAACATTACGTTCAATATTGTCCCCCACTAGTTTTTTTGGTTCTAAAATGTTTCATTAAACTTATAGAATTAAAAAAAAAGAATATTCCTTTTTTCCAAAATAGGACGAAAGTATATTAACACAACGTAGCTTAATCGCGAATTTTTTGCTTAAAAAATAAATTTCACAGCGAATACTATTGGGTATTCAAGTGTAAAAACCTTTTGTGATACTTTTTAAACATATCCCGTATTGTTTCAAGTCAAACAAAGCTAATTTGTGTAAATTTATTTTTAAGATATTTAAAAAATAAATACCCGTTTTTTAAATCCCTGAAGGAAATGTGGGGTGTTGTATCGCTTTTTCTACTATTGTGGCGACATGTCTTCATATTTTCAACAACTTGTCTACATATCATGTAATAAGAAGAAGCATTTGTTATGTTAACAGTCAACAGGGCATGATTATGCTTCTTCTATTTTTCTTTTATTAGAAATAATTTTGGCGGCCATAGACAGAAATTTTCTTAAAAACGCGAGTTTAAAGTTATAACTGGATAATTGGACCTTATGTCCATATCTACAAACTATTGACTTACTACTGACCATATCACTATTTCATTTCCAATGACAAGCACATATTAAATGTCAATAGTTCAATGCATTTTGTTGGGTATAGTCGGTCAACAGTATTGGTGACAATGTCAATAGTAAGTCAGTAGTGGTTTACCAAAGACATTTCCCACAGGGATATTTCCAATTACTAAATATGCTAACAAAATACTTTCAAAAGCTTCTCTTTCAAATAGTTTGTTCCATTAACCTTACGTACTAATAAAGTTAATATAAAACTAATTGATTTGATACTATTAATAAACAAAATTATTTTTAATCTTATATTTATTAATCCGCTGTAGTCTCTATATATGTATGTAAAATGCAGTACACGTTTATACAATTTTACACTGAAACAAAAAAATATGAAAGTTAATTATTTTTTGGTTAATAGGATTCAATGAATGTTTTTTTTTTTTGTTTCTAGAGATATTTAATAGTTACAGATATCAGCTGAAATTATTAAAAAAATAATAATAATAATAATAAATAAATAAAAGAAAATATTCCATTACATTAAGAAGTATAGTAGAAAATATTGAAAATCTTGAGATTATTGATAAATCCTATTGACAAATATTAAAACCAGTAAGGTAAGTTCAAAAGTCGGTGGTACATACAAGAAATGTTAACATCTACAATATATCATGTATATAGAACAGACATAGAATCTTTGGAGGGCCATGGAAATGGAATCGGGCGAAACTAAATGTGCTATCTAGACAGATATTTGAACCAATTGAAAACACCCCATACACATACCATTTTGAAATCAATGACATATTGCATGCCAAACAGGAAGACTTGGACTTGTATGAAATCGAGTAAAATTATGTATGGGAGCTTTATATGAACACATGGATCTAATTGAGTAAACGTTGCCTACACCATTTATTTTTTGTTATCACTCTATCTCTCTATATTCATATTTCGTGTAAATCGAACAAACATAGACCCTTCGGTGCACTATTTACATAAAATCGAACGAAAATATATATAAGACCTATATCAACATATGAACCGATTTCAACAAACCTTATCACACATAATTTTTTCCTTAGTTGCATTCGCTATGCAAAATTTTATCACAATCGGACAAATATTGGGAGTTTAGTGCATCATTTACATAAAATCGGACGAAACTATATATGGGAACTATATCTAAATCTGAACCGATTCCAACAAAACTTCGCAGACATCAGTCTGGACCTAATTCAGTACTCTGTGCAAAATTTTATCACAATCGGACAAATATTGGGAGTTTAGTTGTTGTTGTTGTAGCAGCCCTATTGCTTTTACACAATGGGCTGAGGTGACAGACGTTGGCCGAGAAAGACTCGGGTCGTAGACCCCTTTGCCGTGGAAACGGCTCCCTCTGGGAATTTAGTGCATTATTCACATGAAATCGGACGAAATTATATATGGGAGCTATATCTAAATCTGAACCGATTTTTCCCAAATTCAATAGGGTTCGTCCTTAGGCCAAATAAGTGAACTGTGCCAAATTTCGTCATCATGGTGCATCATTTACATAAACTCGGACGAAACTATATATGGGAGTTATATAAATATGAACCGATTGTCTCCAATTTCAATAGTGTTCTTCCTGTGCCAAATTTCATACAAATCGGATCATAAATGGGGGGTGATGTTCTTACAAATGAAAAACTGCTCAGACCCTTAGAGCAGAAGCAAAATTCTATTTCAATTTCAATTTATTTATTTTTTCATGAATGGAAACCTAGCCACAAGGCCAAGATCGGTTCCAAACGATCTCAAACGATTTGCGACGGATGTATTTTTAATAGAAATACAACTTATCATGGATTTTGTCTACAGAAAAAAAATCAGAAATTTTCAATGAATTGAGCACTCAGCTTTCCACCGTAAAATTACAGATAAATAAAACAAAAATAAAATTAAAAAATATTCTTCCGAAAACAATATAATATACGAAGAGATGTTTAGTGATACATAAATGGTGAAAAAATTTATACAGACATTGCCATTGCCACACATTAATTGAATATACTCAAAATGTAATAATATACAAACAATTTCCCTGGAATATATTGTTTTTTATTTATTTAATTTATCAATGAAAGAAAAAAAGCAATTGATTGACGTTTAAAAATTTTATTTTTGTTTTCCAAATAATTTTGAAATAGAGTGGATTTATGTGGCAAATACTTAAGCCTTACTTATAAGCTAACGTACAAATCTTCCATGTTCATACAAATAGCCATTAGGTTAAAAACTAAATTCTTATGTCTCCTGATTCCAAAAAAACATAAATAAATAAATAAAAACGATCATTAACAAATTTACATATCGGCTGTATTGTTATTTGTATGCTGAGTTGATGATGTAACAACTCCGGCGGCATGGGCTAAACGTTGTGCAGGTGATGGCGATGTAGCGGAACCACCGGCTGCCACCGGTGTAGTGGAGCCTGTTTTCATTGTTGAATTATTTTGACGTAAATCCATAAGAATTTGATCCGGCATCAAATCGCCACCTTCTTTAAGAATCAATTTTAATCAGAGAGAGAAATTTAACAAAAAAAAAACGGATACAAAAACATTTGAGAAAACCGTTCCATGGTGGGGCAATTGGTTGTGGCGAAGCAGCAAAAAGAGTAGGAAGAAAACCAAGAAAGAATAATGATTTGGATTGCAAGTTTTTTTTTTCCAATATTTAGTATAATTATATAAAAAATTATTTATTATAAATGTTTATCGTAGATAGATTTACAAAAATACAGGCAAAATTTTATTATTAACCTAAACACTTTGACATAAATATATTTAAAATTAAAAATTATAGATTGGAACATATTTTAAAAACGAAATGAAAAAAAAAACAAAGGCAGAAAATAGTTAACGGATGTTTAATTAAAAATAACAAAAGTTGTTACATACATATGAGGGATGATGCTTGTAATTTTGAAATGTTTTCTTTTTTAAGGAACAAAATACAAAAAGACAACAACAACAATATAAGAACAACAATAATAATTTTGGAAATACTATAAAAAGAGAGAAATCGAAACATTAATTTTATTTGCTTAAGATTTTTTGGGAACACGACTAATGGTAATTTCGTTAACTTGTATATCGCCGCCATTTAAATTTTTCGAGCAATTATTATTGTTGTTGTTATTATTATGATTACTACTATTACTATTAATATTGACATTGACTTTATTGGCATTGATCATATTCTCAATCCGATTCAATATCGCACTACAACTAACAAGAACTTCATCGCCATTTTCTTTACGTCCTCGTTTTTCGGTAGCGCGTATAACACCACGTAATTGATGATTGGTAGTGCTAGATACGGAAGCAATGCGGGAAACTAAATGGAAAGAAATTGAAAACTCGGTAAAAAAATAGTTACAAATTTGTTTGTTTGACGACATTGATACGTTGCGAGATGTGATGGAATCAATATAGACGAGATACAAGGATCAGATCACAAAAAAATGCAGCATGTAAATCATTGTCAGCATTAAGTTGATGATCACCCATATGTCTCCCCACATTAACCCCCACATTTCTATACTACTATGTCAATGAGAATAGAATAGGGACAGAAACACAAACATTTTTTCGTTTTATTTCAAATATTATTATATCGGAAATCAGTTCTGTTTATGTTAATTATATACTAATATAATTAACGTATACAAATATAGTTGCATAATACAAATTTGTGTTATGTTATAGCACAAAATTTAAATTGCAATATTTTTTTATTCTGAAAAAAATCTGATTTATTTTGTTTTAAAATTTGTTGAGGTTAGTGAACTGGTGGCAAATGATGCAATCTGCTGTTATTAAAATAATTTTGAATGAAAATTTCTATTTTTTTAATTGAAATAAATACTTTTAAAAGCTACAATTTATTAAAAAACTCAACGTATATTAGCTGAGCTGATAGGAAAACTTTATTTCTGATTATAAGTCAAAAATGGCTGAAAATAAAGTCGCCAATTAATTCAAAGCGAAGCAGAGGTATCGATATTATGACTTAAAAAAACTATAAACTATATATGGGACCTATATCTAGATCTGAACCGATTGCAACAAAACTTCGCATACATCAATCTGGACTTAATTCAGTACTCTGTGCAAAATTGTGTCTCAATCGAAGCAATATTGGTCGGTCGGCAGGGGCGGGAATGAGTGGCGTGGCGTGGGAACGATCAAATCAATATAGACCTACTTCAGTACTCTGTGCAAAATTTTGTCTCAATCGGAGTAATATTGGCAGTTTGGTGCACCATTTACCTAAAATCGGACGAAACTATATATGGGAGCTATATCTAAATATGAACCGATTTTTCCCAAATTCAATAGGGTTCGTCCTTGTGCCAAATTAGTGACATGTACACAATTTCATACAAATCGGATCATAAATTTCGACTTGTACTTTGTTCACAAAAATACATGGTCGGACAGACGAACTGACTCAGAAAGTGATTCTTTGCATATTTTCAAAAGGAACCATGGGTCTATATCGATTCCTATTGCCTCTTACAAACATATGCACAAAGACATAATACCCAGTACCACAGTGTGGTGAAGGGTATAAAAAAAGTGTCAGAGGGTGTTGCCGACAGATATATACCCTCAACATATGGTTGGGGGAGGTATACGGGTTTCATTATTTTTATGGGGATGTACCAAAGAGATTGAAACTATGATTTCCCTCTAAGGAACTGATGTAGGTCTGGTAAAAGTATGAGAGTTTACAAAGTTTGGATCAAATCGGATTGATTTTCGTTTAACAAATCTCCTGACACGGTGACTAAAAATATTATCTTCAGCAATGTCGCCGATAAGTCCTATCTTTCAACATTCGAAAGTCATTGTTAAAATATTAGGTTATGCAAAGTTTAGTTCAAATCGGATAGTCCGTTGACGTGATATTATAAAAAAAATTTTCAGCATTTTTGTGAAAGGTACTAGAAGATCGATATTACCGATCGATATCCTCCATATTCGAGCTTGATCTAAGTTTGAAATAAATATTGCGATGTGCAAAATTTGAATGAACTCGATATCTCCCTTCAAGAGTTATTGTGCCCACCAGCCGGTCGGACGGATCTTTGTAAATCGAAACGGATTTGATCCAAAAATAAAATATTTCTAAAATATTTTCAAATCTTGCCCACAAAAATAAAAACACGTTATTTTAAGATTTTTTCCTTTGTTATTTTTTTTTTGAATTTTTTGTATTTGTTTATTTAAAAAAAATATGTATTGTGTATAAAATTAACAGCACACCGCATTGCCACCAGTTCACTATTTTTGTATAGTTCATTCTCCTAAAATAGATCTAAGAAATGGTTAAATTCATAATTTTGTTCCCCTCCATATTTACATATGGCATGGTAGTCCTTGTGTCGAAAAATATATTTCAAACCTGCTCCCCAAATAGAAAAAGAATAAGAAACAACAACACCTGAATGATACTGAAAAGTAAACAAATTGCGATATATTCGAGTGGACCGAACCTTGTTTATAAAGACCTAGATTATGAAAATAAATCTAACAATTCCAAAAAATATTTTGACAGCTGGGAATAATTGTTATAATGGTATTTAACCTCCTTACATTTGTAGGGACATTGGCACAGCTATCCAACCTACACAATAGATGTACAAAAACAAAGATTCAAAGGTACCAATATGTGTTCCTAATTCCTTTCTGTGCAGTTTTTTTACAGCTGGGACTGAATCATCTATATTTGCAATCAATTGACCGTGTAGAGTAGCAGTCATGTTCGATGTCGTGGAAAATTTTCCTCCGTTATAAATATTTTAAAATATATAATCTATCATCGAGAACTACAAATATTTCAAACCACAAAATGATTTAAAAAAAATTCAAAGTATAACAGAAATCTTTAAAAAAAAAAGTATTCACAATTGATCAAATAAAGAACAAGAAAACTATGTTTAAAAAGAGAAATCTTGGCGCTTTTAATGGCGTTGGGGCGAAAGAAAATGAAGTGAGGAAAAAGTAAAACAAACAAATGACATAACTTTAAATTTCTTTGGAGAATCTTACAAATATAAAAAATCATAAAAAAACGAATTAAACACCGATGTAATATGCTGGCTTGTTACAAGAAAAAAAGTAACAAAAAAACTAAAAATTTACAATTTTCGAAAAAAAAAAACTAAACCTAAAAGAAAAAAGTAACTAGAATTAAATACAGACTAATTTAATAAGGTTTTTATCTCAAATAGTAAACTTAGAAACTAAATAAAGTATATGGAAAATTTATACTAATTTTAGTTTCTAGTTAGTGAAAACAATTTATGTGGATAGTAAAAACTAGATGTTTGTTGGTTGATTTGCTTTTTTTCTTCTTCAAAGTTATTGGTAAAAAATATATGTATATAGTTGTGTATGATGATTTACAATATAACATAGACATTGTTATATTATGTTTGCTTGTATGATTATGTTTCTTTTTTTTTGTCAATACGTGACATAGAGTGTGTGTGTTTTTTGTGTTCCTTATATTTGTGTGAGAGTGTATGTATGTGTATTAAAAATTAATTTGTTTTACTAATTCGAGTTTTTTAGTTTTACTGTTTCATTCCGAGGATGAATAATATGTATGTTTGTTTGTCTATTTTTTGTTTAGTACGAAAATGAATCCAACGTACCATTCTTTTGTGGCATATACATGCCTCTTTGATTGTTACCACCACCATTACCGTTCATTGTCGATGATGCTGCACCGGCTTGTGTTGTTTGCTTTGCAATTGGACGACGTTTTGCCAGGGGTAAATCATCATCTGAGTCGCTAAGCGTTAAATCCACCTAGAAGTACCAATATTTTGGAATTATAATCGTTGTAAGAGAGACATTCAAAAAAATTGTAATTACCGTTTCACTGTTTGTGGTCGATGATGGCTGTTCACTTGCAGAGGCTGTCACTGATGTGGGTGCTGGTTTCACTGGTTTAACATCTTCTGTTGTTATTAATTCTATAAGAAAGATAAATATTTTTTAAATTAGATTCGGTTATTTATTTATTTATTCCAAAAGTGCAATTTGAAGCCATTAAGGCCGATTTCATTTAAATTTCAAACTATACTACTCCATTTAACAAGATTTCTTAATGATATCTTAGAAGGTATTATTCTAAAAATAATAATATATTTCAATGTTTGGCAAGTGGCTAACTAACATAGATATCACATATTCAATATTTAGTAATAAACAGCATTGTATAAAATATAAGAATTTAAATTTGTATATTATAAAAAAAGATGACATACTTTAGTTTAGGTAGAAAAATTACTAAATTCATGTTTTTTAAAGAAAGTGATCAAATAGAATATTCTATAAAAGCTGTTCCATTAAAAACAATAGAATATTATTTTTTTTTTTTTTTTTTTTTGAAAGAAAGCCCATCTTCGATATATAAAAGTTTTGTCATTACCATTATCTTCAGAAAAACAATGAATATTATTTTAATCTAGAGGATTTTTCCTATTGAAAAAACTTAGCACCGCACTTCTATCATCAGAATATTTAATAGGCCTCAATATATAGAGTTATTTTATATTTAAAAAATTTCGTGATTGGGACAAGTCCCCAAAATAAATTTTAAAACAAATGTATTGAAGAAATATATATTTGTGTGTATATATATATATGTATATATACATATTCAAGTCCATCACAAGTCCTTAAAATGTTTTTAAAGAAAGCCCAGAAATTTTAAAACAAATTTAAATATTTATTTATATACATATCTATATATATTCAAGTATATATATATAAGTCTATGACAAGTCCTTGAAATGTTTTTAAAGAAAGCCCATAACATCGACAAGGCCTTAAAAATGATAAAAACCCCATTTTCTTTGACTTTAAACAAATCTAAACCTTTAAAAAAATATATTTAAGAAATCCAAATTTAAGATATCCAAAATTTTGAAAACGTTCAAAACTGACTTTTTTAAGAAATATCAAAGACCTTATCATTCAATCTTTTTGACTTTTACCTATATCATCTGAAATAACTTCAACTTTTTCAACTGGTTTGGTGGGTGTATCCAATACTTGTCCCTCATTGCGCAGGCTATGTGTACTCCATGAACCATCCTTGTGTAATTGGATTTCAGTATCGTCGGGTTTAAGTAGATTTGACGCCAAAACTTCTTGGAAGTAGCTAAATATACAAATCAAAACAAAACACATACAAATTAATAAAAAATCCGTAAACAATCATCTTCATTGTAATTACCCATCAATAACAAGATTATCATAAACGGCAGGTTTATCGCACACCGGACAATTCCATGTGGGTTTACGTTCATTCATTTGCAGGTATAGACTGGCATCGAAACACTGCAAATGTGAACATGTTGATGCACGACATGGTATTGACATTTTCATTTTACCCAATGGACAATTGAGTGACACCTTCAGCATTGTCGTTGCAATTTCACAATCAGCATCTTCAGTCAATTTCTCTTTGACTGCAATAGTAGAGATAGAGATTTATAATTACCCCGCAAGAAACAAGTGAATCAGGCGGAAACTTACTTAGAGCTCTAGTATAGTCGGCAGGTTTAACACCCTTCTGTTTCATTCTCTGCAACAACTGGGCTGATGTTAATTTCTTAACTAAATAGACGGCAATGCAATAGCCTCGTGTATAGTCGGGACACCATTGTACGGTTATTGTGTTGGTAACTGTGGGCGATAGTTTGACATTTGATGTAACATTAACGGGCCGTGGTGGTCTTTTTGGTTCCACATTTGGACGATTTGTTGGAATGACATTCTGCAATGAACGATATTAGAAATAAGAATTAGGATTTTTGAGGGGAGGATTTTGTTGAACCTACCGGCAGTTGGCAAAGTTTATTGTTAACCTTAACACTGACACTTGGCGGAAAACAATCCTCTTGATCGCACGATGTCTCTAGCAAACAAAAACGCAATTGCACCTGTATGGCATGTTCAATTTTCGAACTGTTGCGTATGTCACGATTTGAGGCTATTTCTGTGGCCTGTTGTGGTGTCAGTGTGAAATAAAATGGAACTTCCTGAATACGTTGAGCATTGCGTGGCACCAGCGATGATGGTTTTATTAGAGTACCCAAAACATCGTAAAATGCCAATTTCTTTAAGCGTACATCGGGATGTATGGGCATTTGTGTGGGTATGGCATGTGAAAAGGGCACCACATTGTTGCCCTGTGGTACACCGGCACCCGGTTGCATAGCAGCTGGATTAGCTGGATTTAATATTTGTTGGCCACCAACCATGGCCGAACCGGCTGGAGCACCGACCATGCCGGCATTTGCATTTGCTTGCATATACATTTGTGAATACATTCTTTTGGGATCTGTGGGACCAAATTGATTGGCCTGTTGTTCAACTCTGAAAATAAAAAAATAAAATTGAATTATAAAAAACAATACGATTGAAATGTTGGCAACTTACATGGATTGTGTATAGACTTCACGTATTTTGGGTGCAATCAAATCAAAATTAGTACGTAGTAGCGATAATATCCGCCTTTGATAATCAATTTTACGTCCAGTAAATGAAAGATTTAAATATGAAAGTATTTTTTGCAGTTCGACCACCCGAAGAAGACTTATCTTCTCCTCACATTCCTGAAAGGAAAATAATTGGAAAATATTATTACTTAAATGTGAAAATTAGAAGGATACACAAAAAGATATTATTATCCCCAAATAGGATGTATTCTATTTTTAGATTCCTGAAATAAAATGAAATATGAAAAAAATAGAAGCACAAAAAAGCGATATACAATTGTTCTCTCTAGAACGATTGTGTATGCCTTGAGATGACCTTAAGTCTACTGTGAGAGGACAAATCAGTATTCAATAGGTAAGTCGACCCACTTTGTCCAAGAGAATACATTCTGTTCTTCAAATACCTTCTGCCCTTTTTATGAATGGAATACCATAATCTACACTTCCAATGAATACCTTCTTCCACTTGTCAATGATAATAGATTTTCGTGTTTTGTATTGGATGACCATGTTCTTCTTTTCATGGAAACATCATCATCGGTTCTTCTATGGGAAGGTATTTCAGGTTTTCTATGAGAAGTCCAGAGCACCAACTCTCTTTGGAAGTTTCTAATGATCCTCTATAAGAAAGTCTGCTTATTATAGAGGATTCTCTAAATGCACCCGAATAAATTTATGAACTCCTCTGTGAGATTAAAGCCTTCGATAGCTTTTGTATGTGAAGAACTTCTTCCATGAGAAGGCATACCCGATCCTTCAAAACTCAATCTTCAACTCCTCTTAGGACAAGAAGATAGACAGAAGACATAAGATAGACAGTCTGTAAGAAGACCTTTTTTGAATCTCTTTTGAAGAGGTAGACCACCTTCAGCCCTTTCTTTGAGGAAGCATCCAGACATTTGTACAAGACCTCAAACTCCAATATTCAGCTGCATATATGGCTCGAAAACTTCTATGATATACCTTTTCATAATTATATAAGGGAGTCCATCTTTGAGGATGCCTTAAAATTTTTCCTCTATGTAGTCGAATTGGGTCTGAGTTTTTAATGCAGATTATATGAAGGTTTAAAAATGGAGGCTTGAAGCACAACTATCTGAAGGCCAACTAGGAGAATATCAACGGCAGCACTTCGAAGGGGTCACCTGGTAATTTTTTAAAACTCCAGATCATTCAATGGGGAGAAATTCCGATTACTTTTCACAACTTCGAATGTTTCCATTATTTGGGCAAACACTTTTTTCAACATTTCTCAATTTTAAGGTTGGTTAGTTGTGTCATGATGAGTTGAACCCCATTGGATCTGTGGTCTGCAATGCAGTCATTGGTTAAAGCTTAAAAAGAGGCTTGAAAAAAATAATCAAAAAGCTATGGTACATGCCGCCTCACTCCATACTTTATCAAGACGATTTACAAAATGTGTTGGACACAAAAATTAGCCAGAGTCCATTTTTTAATATTTAGAATAGAATCGAAAAATGAAAATACAATACAAAAAACACAGCTTAGAAACAACACTGGCACAGAAACAGCAGCAGATGGGCCGTAGAATGGGAAGAAAAAGACTCCAAAAAAACAGGGAAAATTCTGTAGTAATGGGAAAACAAAACGCACTCACATACAAATACAAAGAAAATATGTATATAAGACAACGCACACACACACATCTACATACACTCGTATACCAACAAATCACACCAACACCATTACAGATGGACACACACACACATTCAACAATGCACTCATACACATACACACACCCAACAACAACAACAATGACACAAACTGCACCAATACATTTGCACAGGACACTAACACAAATACCTGCCACAACTACAAATGCAATTCCACAGTATATATGCGTACACACTTATATACATATACGCCAAAACACCCATACACGCACACAATTGTCAAAACAAAAGCGCCGACCAAACGAATTGAGAAGACGACCGACCGACCGACCGACCGTCCGACCCACGATAAATAGTAGTTGGCAACCTCATTTTTTTCTTGGTGTAAGCAAAACGAACATGAATTGAAATACAAAACAAAAAATGAAAAAAAGAAGTATAGAAAAAATATGTTGGCCACAATCGTTTTTCATAGTTTTTTTTTTTTTGGATTGAATCTTCTTGCTTTACCTAGAAAATTATTTAACATTTTTGCAAATATGATGGAGTAGTTTCTTCATGTTTTCTTGTGTGCAACCAACAATAAAGGAAAACAATATAAAAATTGTATTGGCTTTGTTTGTCACACACAGAAAATATTCGTCGTCGTCGCCGATATTTTCTTCTTCTTAAGGATGTTCGTTGTATTTTCTTTGCTGAATTTCTCCGACAATTTTTTTTCTTCAACACATCACACACATTTTCTGAACAAATACAAAAAAAAAACTTTTGCAAAAACTTTCTTGTTCGCACACAGTTGTTCAGCAGCCACTTTTTTCTGTATTAGAATTTTGTTGTAAATTGTTTACTTTTTTATATATTGTTTGAGCTTTTTCTGTCTTTCACCAAAAGTTGGTTGACTGGCTGGCTGTGCGATTATAATTTATTCGCGTTTTTATTATTTTTATTTCCTCTTGGGTTTTTTTCTATTCTGCACACACAATACACTGCTGCTGCTCTCATGGGTCGTCAAAAGAATATGATGATGGCGGCGAAGGGACATTATTTCTTGTACAACAATAACAAAAATTCCCATTATTTACCGTATGTCAAATGTATAGAATAGTGTTAATGAACACAACCACAACAGCCGGCACAGAGTTGCATTATTTGACAGTTGCGTATGGGAGGCAAACAATCGATACTATCGATTACATACTGTGCTATGCGAGTAGATTGGCCATGGAGCGAATTTTATTAAGAAAAATGAAATAAAGTGAACTAAACGGATACTTTCGAATGTGAATGTGATTTCTATGTTTATTATAATACACATATATATATATATATATATATAAGAAAATAAAAAAATGAGAGAAAATAATGAAGACATATGAGGTGATAGAATGTAAAATTAAATTACTATGATAAATATAAATGGTAAAATTTAATAGAATTTTGGAATACGGGAACAGACCAAATATTTTATTTATGGTCTTCACCAATTTTTATTACTTTTCTTTCAATATCATAAAGGAATATTTGTTATGTCCTGATTTAGATTAGGCGAGTTTACTTGAGGCAATTATTATCGTTCTCTTTTAAACTTGCTTCATGCGTCTATACAAGGCAATTCGGTTTCAAAAATATTTCCTTTTTGACAATATCCTTGATTGGTATTTCAAATTACTGACACTACAAACAAAATACACAAAACGAATTGCCAGAAAATTGTCGGTACGAGCAATTTTTTTCTCTCCAGCAAACAAAGACTTGCCGCAAGTAAACTCGCCTAATCTAAATTCCGACTATGGAAAAAGTCTAGTTTAGGGCCCCCTCGCGGATCGTTTTGAAACTTTTACCACAAGTAGTCCTTGGACGGTATTTCCAGAGATATGGGCCTCCAAAGTTCCGTTGGGGCCCTTATCTTATCAAATAAGTTCAAATAAGTAGCCGGCCTTCATCAAATAAGAAGCCGGCCTTCGTCAGGTAATTTAGGACATTCTCCTATGGACAGACGGTAACTACGGCTACGCGACCGAATTTGCTTTTAATTAGAAAAGTGTTTGTGGGTAGCCGGCCTCAGGCCGGGATTTACAATTTTCTTCTATGGACAGATGACAGCTCCGGTTACGCGATCGCATCTCTTTTTAATTTGAATAGTGTTTTTTTAATCATGAATTCAAAAGCTTTAAATTGGTACCCATATTGCCAAAATAATTTTTAAAACCCGTGAGAAAATATAAGGAACTCAAAGGAACTTTGGAGGCCCAAATCTCCGGAAATACCGATTTCCTAAACTACACTTAAGCCTTTTTTATCGTAGGGAACAAATAACTTTCATGGGGAAATCCATAAATCCTGAGATATGGACCCCTGAAGTTCTTATGCTTCGTAATTTTTTGGACCGATGAAGGTAATAAATTTTATGGGTGTAAAGCGTACACATTACATTCTGATTTAAATTCCCTAAAAAAAAATTCCAAAATAGCCGGACTTCGGCTGATGATTTGTGACTTTCTCCTCTTGACAGACGGAATATTCGGCTAATACTTCAAACAATTATTTAAACAAAATTTTTGTGTTAATAGCCGGCCTTTGGTCGGGGATTTAAGACTTTCTCCCATGGACAGATGGAAAATTCGGCTACGCGATCAAAACTTTCTTTTAAATAAACATGTTTTTTTAAATAGCCGCTAATATTAGCATAATCGGCCAATAAATGGCGAAGTTATAAGAATTCCAGAACTTTATAGGTTCATATCTCGGGAAGTATGTATTTCCCCCATGAATGTCAAATAGTTTCATGATCTGGGAGACAAGCTCTACATGTGGTAAAATTTTAAGAAAAATCGAAGATGAGCCCCAAAACTCAAGTTAAGCCTGAAAGAAATTACATGGTTATGGACGAACCAAACATTTCATAGTAATCTCCATGGTACAATTATTCAAGGTAGACCATAGCAACTTATAAATTACAATTTTTTTATACTGTGGCTTGTTATGCCGAAATCATATACAAAATTTGAGAATCTATGCGGAATGTTTTGAAAAATATAACAAAAGATATTGGAGAATCGATTTGTTTGAAGATGAATTTTTACAACATTTATAAGAAGAAATGTATGATTTGTGAATGAATGCTCATCCCCAACTGGATTTTGAGAAAAAAAAAAGCCTGACATTTCATTAATTTTTCGCGTTTTTGGTAAAATGTTAAAAATATGTCACATGAACAGAACGACTTGTTGCATTTGTTTTCATTTATTCTGACATTATTGCCCACAAGATAGAGGTGTATTTTCTCCTTTCTGACAAAAGCTTCCTAAACGGCATATACATTAGAACTTTTTACCTACTTTATGAGGATTTATTTGGCATATATGCAAAGGAATAACCATTGGAAACCACTGGGTTTACGAAATCCGGTTAAATGTAAACGTACTACTACTTTGTATAAATGTACCATGGTATTCGCAACTGGATTTTGCGATGAATTCACAACCTTTCATTTTTTCGTTTTCATTTATGTTTTGACAAACACTAAATATCCGATAATGTAGGAAAACCAACTGACTCGTTTAGAGTTGGCCCTAAATGCTTATTTTTTAATATCTAAGTAGTTTTTAATGAAATTAATTGTTCATCCAAAAAATCCGTTGGATCGCTTTTGACTATGATTGTAATATAAGCAATACCATGCTTCAAATAAAGCAACCACACATATGAACACAGCCAAAGACGCTGGGAATTTTCTTAAATATTGGGATTTTTTCCAAAAAAAATACAAAAAACTAAACATTTGCAAATATTAAACAAATCAAAACATTAATTCAACTATACAAAAATACATGCCCCCACACACTCGTACCCACCACTGTTATTAATTGATATATTGTAAAAACCCCCCATGTCCATAGAACTAATTTCCCAGATTTATGTATGAAAACGTCACTAGAACGCCTGAAGACCTACCTTAATCCGGGCAGGATCAACATAGACGCTGCCTGCTGCAGATGCCGCCGATTGTTGTGTGTTGCTACGTTGTTTCTGTTGTGAATTATTCGAATTAATTTGATATTGAGGCGACTGTTGCTGTTGCTGCGCCGCCGCTGCTGCTGATGATGAATTTGACGATGAAGTGGAAGAGGACACAACTCCTGTACGCGAAGCGCTTGAATTACTTCGCCCTCCCGAGAGTATTGCATTTTCTGCATGGGTTTGTGACCGCGTCTTACGCATTACAAATGTTTTTTTCTTTCGTTCGTTATCACAATTCTATACGAAAAATATTGTATCAAAATATAAAGCACACAATTACACACACGCACGCTCGCTCGCACACACAATATAAACAATGTTAAATTCTTTACGATTTTCCCGTCGATAAAATGTTGACCAATCAAACTTCGTAATCGATCTTTGGAATTGAATTATTTTTTTTCTCTCTTTTCGGCAAAACAATACAAATGCACAGCAAATGTAATTTTATGTTTTCACTTTCAAAAGATTTGAGCGGTGGAAAATTTTTTTGTGTGGTGATTTGTGTCTCCTTCGAAGGGAATGCAAGTGTGTGAAAACAGCTGCAGACGGGAACAGTGTTGCCAAACCGGCTATTTTAAGAAATTTCCCACTATTATGGTTGTGTTCATTAAGAAAACAGTGTTGTCAATTTGTTTCGTTGTCTAATGATAGTCATCCACAAAGGAGTGTTTACATGAGGCAGGATCAAAGTGATTATGTTTTTGATGGATTTATAAGGGATTTTTTTTTATTATTAAATTTTCTGAAGGAAATAAAGAATGATTAAATATATTTTTGAGATAGAAATTCAGAAGATATAAAGGTTTAAAAAATATTTTTTTTTATATCCAAAGGCTTCATAAAATATTTTTAATAAATCAACGCCCCACAGGGACTTACATTAAAAAATCTACGTCCCACAGAGACTTATTTTTTAATAAATCTACCTCCCATAAAGACAAGAAAATAAACGCTTTACATATTCTTGAAAAAATGTTTTTTTTTTTTTTTTTTTGTTAACCTCCTCAGTGAGGATTAATTTGGCATATAAGTAATGAATCTGGCTATTTACATCTACACCTTGAAAAGATATACGTTTGTGTTATCGTTTCCTTGTGGTCATGATTTCGTTCTGTTTTACCTTTTGATTAACTTATCGATTTACACTAAAACCATAAAACGTCATTATCGGCATTAATATTTGCCGCAAAAGTTAATTAAGTATTTTTTGGAACCGAAAAATCTCGTTAAGTTATCTATTTTATTATTTTTTTATTCGTGACAAATTCTATTTTTTTCGTTGTTATTGACACAGGGTTGTGTAGGTCGACATGGGGAGTAATCAATTAATCGAAATGTCATACAACAATCGATGATATTGTCGGCTTTTGGGGCGATTAATTGGTCTGTTCCCGTGCTGCAAGAATCTACTATTTTTAACTACGATAACGAATTTTCCTTTATGATATCGAAGAAAATAGTAAAATCGAGTAGAATCTTGCAGTACGGGAACAGGTCAAATGTGAAAAGCAGTGTACACACTTGGTCTGTTCCCGTACAGCAAGAATCTACTAGATTTTACTATTTTCTTTGATATCATAAAGCAAAATTCATTATCGTAGTAAAAAGTAGTGGATTCTTGCAGTACGGGAATATACCAACTATCATTTTTGACTGTCAACTTTTTTATCGATTAAGGGCTAAGCAGAATGCTCGCGTTGAGCAATCCGTTGCGTTATGTGTTATCGAAAAATCAAATCAATAATTTCAATATCTTATTTTTTTGGAGATGTAATGCAATATGCAATGTATAATAGTTATAATAGTAGTGTTGATCGATAACTTTTTTTAGGTATGCCGTCTACAAGAAGATGTTGTGTGACAGGATGCGTAAACGCATCTCTGATGTATAGAACAGCGGTTTCTGTGTATGCTGTAAAGAATGCATGGAAACCTATGTTGCTAGATATATACGGCATAACCACTAAGAACAGCTCGGTTATTTGTGCGAGACATTTTGAGGAGGAAATGTTCTCTAAAGCAAAAATGAAAAACGCCAAACATCTGCTATCGTCAGCAACACCATGTGTTAATATGCCACCTCCACTTGCTATTAACGCAACAACTGTAGAGACGTCTATGGTGGAAATTGATGACTGTAAGTATTTTTTTTTGTAATTTCGTTTTGTACATACTTTAAATAAAAATTGATATTCCAGTCACATATATTCCGGTACTTAGGTATTTGCATTTAAAGTTATCTGCCTCTAAAAGTATATCGGTTCTAAACCGATTATTAAAGGAAGGATTATCATATAACCCTCTGTAGTACAAATACATCCCCCACACGAAATGGAGTAAAAGGGTATGATTCTATATAGGATTTATATAGACATAATGTGTATATTTATTAGAGTATAATTTAAATATTACATTTATTTAAGATTTTTCGATAAGTCGACTCTAAGTATAAAAAAGAATACTATACGATATATTACTTCAGTTAGTTGTTCAAATTCATTAAATATAACTTAATTAAAATAATATTAATTACTAAATGTCAATTTAGAATAAAGGAATGTTAGAGCCAATATTTACTACTTGATCTGTTTACAATAAACCAGGCCTGTCACTACAATAAAAACAAATAAAAAAGCGTTAAGTTCGGCCGGGTCGAACTTCGGCTTCCCTCCACCATAGGTATAGGGATTTTTCCTAAAATCTGAAAACCCTAATATTTAAGTTTTGTATCTCAATTCTTTCCTTCTGGTGGTATCATCACATGGGGAGAAATGCTTGGCGACATATTTCATCATTATCAATCAGGTTCGACAGAAAAGTGTTCCAACAGCTGTGCTGACGCGCTGATTACTTTGATTTCTGGTTTCCATTTGTCGTCTGTAGCTGACATAGCACAATAAAAGGAAGTACAGCTGACTAGCTGATTAACTGTCAAAGTGCGTACTTTTTAATTCAATACGACGTTATGAGACATCGCGTAAAGCATTATTTCACCTCGTAACGCGTCAACGCGTACGACATTTTCTTTTACATATGTTATGTTCCCGTACTCAACATTTTTTTCAATTGCCTTCAGTCATTATTTTGTTTGTCTATATTGTATTTCTTTTTTTAGGTTTCGCCAATGGATTCAACAACAATAATGTAAATAGTATCGGTTTGACTAACAGCTATGTAGATAATCAACAATTTGTAGAATTTTGTGTAGATAGTAGTTTAGAATGTAACAACAGAACAGAAGAGGAGGACGTAGGGCCACAGACAAAAGGACAACTTTTACGAAACGAGATTGAGGTTCTTCGTGCAAAACTTTCTCTTCAAGAAGAGAAAATCGTTGCACTTGAGGAAAAAAACCAAATTCTACAAGATACTAACTTTGCTCTCGAAGAAAAGAACAGTTTTCTGCGAGACAGAGTTGGTACCCTTGAAGAACAAGTCACCAATCTCCAACGAAAAGTTGACAATCTTCTTGGAAGTGGCATTTTCCCTAGAGAAGAAGTTAGTAGTGCCGGCAAAGCGTTAGCCTCTTTAATTTGTCATTCCTCTCCACTACCATACAACGCTGCTGAAGTTGAAGTCTACAACATCTTTACCTCTTCTCAAAACACCTCTATAAATACATACAGTATTAAAATTCTCCCTTCCCAGCCCATGTTGTATATTTGGTCAAACAAAACCTTTCACAGTTGGTTTCGACCCCAAAATGATTGCTACTTTGCGCACCATTTTCGAAGGAATGACAGTGGCAGAACGTCAGTGCGCTTTACAGTTTGACCAACTAAAAGTAACAGACTCTGAAGATAATAATGTCGCTACATACGCAATGGGGTTGCAGTTAATTGGCTTAAGTAGTGATTGGAGTTTACTTGTAGGATTTGTACTTACAAAGGAATTCAATATCGTCCAACTGGAAGCAATTATAGATTGCGTTTTCAAGTGTATTAGCACATTGCAATTAAATGTAATTCTTTGCATTTATGACAGACATCCGGTTCACAGTATGTTTGTCCGTAAATATGCCACGTCTTCTGTATGTACTATTCCTTTCCCTCCAAATTCCGAAGGTGGTACTCGTTGTATATTCGACATTCCCCACATGCTTATAACATTAACAAATAGCTTTATGGAAAATAAATTGTACATTAAAGGCATGATGGAAGACACGCGAGAACTGGCATCCCTTGAGTTTATATCAAAAATTTTTGAATTAGATTCCGAAGTAATAGATCACGAACTTAAATTCAGTCCACAATTGCGGAAAACTCTATTCTGCCCAGGTTACTACAAGGGATATAATTTCGAATATGGACCTATGGACAGAGTGGCGGCACTTTTTAACCAAAATGTACTGGCCGCTCTGAACGTAGTACCATTTCCCGAAGAAGTCCAGTCTAGTTTACAGTCGACGATAAAATTCATTGCTAGGATGATACCAATTGTGCGACTTTGCTCAGAGAATATTGAACGCTCTGAATTAATAAATATAATATCCGATACTTGTAATTTTTTGAATCATGTTGAATGCGGTAGTGTTACTGAGATGCTCCAAATGACATTGACAACATTGTCGTCGCTGTTGTCAGAGCATACCGATGTCTTAGTAAAAAAATGTGTGAATGATGCCCTTGAGGGTGATTTTCTAGATATTAGAAAACGTTGCGGTAGAAGACCTTCGTTTATCGAACTAAGGGAAGTTAAGGCAAGATCCGATTATGTCATTATGCTAACCGGATCCCTTGACCGAACATTGTTTTGGGCCGAACATTGTTTTCAAACGTAATTTTCTAATTGATAAAAATTTATCTAGAGAGGAATCATTTCATTTATATTTTTTTCCTATTTTACATACCCAATTCAAGTTTTTTGTTTTTTATTCCGTATTAAATGAATGTCTAAAATACAACACTGTCTTCCGTGCAGTTCCCTGATTATAATCTGTTGTTTCGTCTGTTATTGTTGGTGTCCCATTTGTAGTGATGATATGCTGTGCACTGTTAGTTTTCGATTTACGTTTGAATTTTTATTTTCACTTCTTCTGTTCTATTTATTTTTCATTTTATTTTTGTTCTTTTTTATTTTATTCACTTCGTGCATGTTTGTAAATATTGTGCATGATTTTTTTGATTTTTTATTGTTATTTTGCCATGAATTGCCTGAATTACTAGACTGATTTATAAATATCTGAATATAATTCAATATTTAAAATATTTGTTATTGATTGTTATGTTGTCATAAATAATTACAAGTTTATTTTGAAAATATCTGAATTTAATTTTATGTTTCGTGTAATTTTTAATATTGTGCCTGCTTTTTTTATTTGTTATTGTTATGTTGCCATGAATTGCCTGAATTACTAGACTGTTTTATAAATATCTGAATATAATTCAATATTTAAAATTATTGTTATTTTATTTGTTATTGATTGTTATGTTGTCATAAATAATTACAAGTTTATTTTGAAAATATCTGAATTTAATTTCATGTTTCGTGTAATTTTTAATATATTTTTTTTAGTTCTAGATGGGGGTTATATGGGAAAGTGATGCGATTACATAGCCTCTCCTTTCCAAGTGTCAACCTCGCCCACCCATGGTGGCCCCTGTTTTCGCAAAAGAGGCGCTGGCGAATTAAATTATATACTAATTATATTTCGTTTAACTATTTTCTAAATATTTTTGTGCTCAACTTACTTTTTTATGTCTTTAATAGTACAGATGTGAAGAAGAGAATGCGGAACGCAACTACAGTGAAGTCAAGAACCCAGCCAGGTACAAAAATTCTCAATACGTCGTCGTCGTCGTACGCCACCAAAACAATTAAGACAATTTCTCATAATAGCGCTGTTGTGGTGAGAAACCAAAGAAACGAAAAAAAAGAATTTGTCACGAATAAAAAAATAATAAAATAGACAACTTCACGAGATTTTTCGGTTCCAAAAAATACTTAATTAACTTTTGCGGCAAATATTAATGCCGATAATGACGTTTTATGGTTTTAGTGTAAATCGATAAGTTAATCAAAAGGTAAAACAGAACGAAATCATGAAAAAAGTGTTAGAAACGAAAACTAAAAAATAATCATACGACACCCATTGGTTGGTGATCGAAGAAGTCAAAGAAGCAAAGCAAAAATTGAGCAATAATCTAAATGCGTTGCGTTTTTTTTCTAATATATTTGCAAAAGCAATAAAAACAAAACAACACGGAGGATTATGTGAAATATTGTGGAATAATATGTGGAAATATATCGGAAGTTAATTTATTCGTATTTTTTGTATTGCAAAATTGAAATTGTGGAAAATAAAAACGCACCTCGCATTGTTGTTGTTGCTGTTCAAAAGTTCTGTGTGATTTGTGGTTCATTTGGTTTATTATTATTATTATTATGACAACAACAAAACGAACTAAAAAACTATCATCAACGCTTCAACCTCTTCCAATTATTAAATAAAAACAACAATAACAATGTGGTATGAATAAAAAAACAAGATGTTACCCACCACCACCAGCTCTAAGTAATTTTAATATGAACTATTGGGAAGGTTAAATACAGTGTGTTGTTGTTTTTTTGCCCAATTATCTTATTGTTTCAATCAGGTGGTGGTTAGTTAGGTGTTTGATGGCCTGCTGAATTGAAAAAAATCGAAAAATTAAAAAAAATTAAATAATTTTATGCGGAAGTTTATGTTTCAAATTAAAATGAAATATTTATATTGAAAAAAAAAAATAAAAAAGAATTAAAATGTTGAAAATTTATAGAAAAGAAAAAAATATGGAAAAATTGCTATAACCGCTATCACACTTTCTATGCAGTTTTTCGAGTTATGTTCTATATTAAGCTTCAGCTTGAATACATTTTAAGCTAAAACTGAAAAAGGCTGGTTCCATATACTGTTCCATACATATACACCTTCCTTTGGGTTTTTACTCACCAGGACGGGACTTTATTTTGTGTTTCCAATTAATATCAACGGTTCTCCGAGCTCCTTAAAATTAGAAATATCGATCGGACTTGTCTGCCAGGTGGTTTTGAGAAAATGAAATAATAAAATAATGGTCCGGTTCCGGATAGTTTTAATGTTTTGCCTTGATTACAACATTTTATTTACACCCTTTGTGAGTTTGTACCGTTACGAAATATTGCTCCCAGACCCATATTTTTTTAGCACGATCATATCACCCCTTGCTGAGTCGATTTAGCCGGGTGTGTACGTTCCTCTATCCATTATGAATTGTAAACTGGCCACAATTAACGAGCAATAGTCACGAAAAGTATGTTCAGTCCGGAACAAAGCGGACCATTATTATTTTTCTTAATGATCGCTTTAGTCTAGTTTAGGGCCCCCTCGACCCTCGTTGGGGCCCCTACATTTTTTCACGGTTTTTAACATTTACAAAGGTAATATTGGTATCAATTTAAAGCATTTGAAGTCTTGATTACAAAAACACTATTCAAATTGAAAGGAGATGCGTAGCCGGAGCTGTCACCTGTCCATAGGAGAAAGCCTTAAATTCCCGGCCGAATGCCGGCTACCCACAAACACTTATCTACTTAAAGGAGATTCGTCTACACACAAACACCCACACCGTTTTTCAAAATTATAGAAGTGTCCCGCGGAATTTGGGATACCCATATCTCAGAATGCGTGAACTTATTTGATAAGAACATTATATGTTTGTAATCAGGACTTAAAACGCTTTAAATTGATACCCACATTTAAAATCATAAATACATTTTAAAAATCATGAGAAAATACAAGGGTCTCAAGGGGGCCGTAAACTAGACTTGTTCCAAAAACATCAAGGACCATGACCATACCTAAAATCAGTAAAAATTAAAATATTTAGCAGTGTTGACGGTTTATTTGGGATACCATTTGTATTTTGTTTTTGCAAAATAGTCAGGCTGAATCCCAATTTGTTGTTTTTATAAAAACAACTACTTATTAGTGGGGGAAGTTTTTATGCAGTTTTTCAAGTTATGTTCTATACGAAGTGGAAAAATTCCAATGAATCAAGTTTTAGCCAAAAAAAGTATACAAAACCGGCAAATTCCATATATACCTTTCATTGTATCGATATGTACCCGACTGGACTTTGTTAAGTGTTCTGCATTTATGTCGAAACTTATCTATGTCAAAAAAATAAATCGGAGACTAAACCAATTGATGATTTGACTAGAATACATTATGAACGAATCGAATCATACGACGTCATTAATTGTTGTTGTATCCACCTTATCATTAAATTTGATTTTGTTTTGATAATTTATTTCTAAACACTAGGAAATGCAAAAAACCACATTAAAAAAAAAACAACATTTCAACATTTCTTTAGGTTTTTGAACTTTTAAAAAACAATAATTTGTCTTAATTATATACACTAAACCTGTTTTGTCAATTTTATGTTTATTTATTTACTTTTGTTTCTATATTTTTTTTCAGCAAGCTTTGCTCTGCTTCATTATCTCGGAAGTTGTCTTTTTACGATATTGGTAAATGTTGCTGCGGTCGTCGTGGTGGTGCTGCAATTTCAAATTAGTAAACCTACAACAACAACTTAGAAATCCAACAACAACACCAGAAAAAGCCGGCAATATAAATTTTTCGTAATGTCGGAACCGGCAGCAGCACCAGCCGCAGCACCAACAACAAACAATGCACCCCCACCCGCCCAACAGCAACAAGCTGCAGGAGCCGGCGATGCTGCGGTGGAAATTAATGTCAATCAAATGGCAAATGTAATCAGTGTCAGCTATTTGGCAGCCAATGGTTTGAATAATCAACGAAATCGTGGTGGTGGAGGCGCTGGTGCAGCTGGGGGTGTAATTGGTATTGGAGCACCAGGACAGGTATGCATGTGAAATATTTAAAAATGTATTTGTGTTATTAATAATTATTCTTTTTTTTTTAGAATAACATCATGAACATGCGAAATCGTTTGTTCCATGCTATATATTTTAAAGTGGCACTAATCTATGCCCAAATGTTTCCCAAGTGAGTAACGGAGCTAAAAAACAATTAGGGACTCTCTAGAGGTCTTCTAGGGATACATTTCCGCAAGTAGTGATTCAAATCTTTTATCCAAAGATAAAGAAACAATCATAACGACATACAATATCATGAATTCTATATACTTCCTCAGACTGAAACACGTTTTTAAACAACAGCCCATGGCGTAATCTCCAAATAATTTACGTAAGGAGACGAGAATATTGTTTTTATTCCACGACACATCCGGGAGAACATCAAATACTTCCACCCGAACATCCAAGACATATTTCCAACTGAAGTCGAACGATTGTCAAACGCAGCCGTTCTGAAACAGCACATATTTTTGCCTGTCCAAATAACACTACAGATTTAGGTCTTCTAAAAGTTTTTAGGGGATATAATATTTTCTATTGGTTTCCTTTAAAGAACATCTAGAGATTGACGCCCTTCTATAGGTCTAGTAGAACTATACCAAATTTTCCAGATTTTATTTACACCCAAACTCAAAACTTGCTTTATTTTTGGGTATTTAAAAAATGTTTTTTAAAAGTCTAAACAACTTTTTTTTAAATACAATTTACCATTTACGGTCTAGCAGAGCTTTAAGCGGGATTTTCATAGAAAAATGTTTGGGATACTAAGACTGGGGAGTTATTGCAGATCTATAATCGTTGATTTCTAAGGAAGTTTTATGGATGTTTTGCAGAGCTATACCCTTGGATTTTTAAAGAGTACCTTTCGAAGATCTTGCAGAGCTTTAAGAGTGGATTTCTAAAAAATATTGTTTGGAGTTTTAGCAGAGCAATAAGCGTGGATTTTTTTAGAGGTCTTGCATAGCTATAAGCGTAGATTTTAACATAGCAGTTTTTTAGAGGTCTTGCCGAACTACAAGCATGGAATTTTAATAAATATTATTTGGAGGCCTTGTCGAACTAAAAGAGTGGAATTTTAAAGAATATTTTGGGGGGTCTTGCAGAGCTATAAGCCTGGGTTTTTAAATAATATTTTTGGAGGTCTTGAAGAGCTATAAGCCTGGGTTTTTAAATAATATTTTTAGGGGTCTTGTAGAGCTATAAGCATGGATATTTAAATAATATATTTTTAAGGTTTAGCAGAGCTATGAACGTGAATTTTTAAGGAATATTTTTTGGAGGATTAGAAGACCAATAAGCATGAGGTCTTACAGGGCTATAAGGATAAGGATTTTTAAAGAATGATTTTTGGGGGCATTGCAGAGCAATAAGCATGGATTTTTTATTGAAAAATGTTTTTGAGGTATTGCAAAGCTATAAACGACGATTTATAAAGACGAAACATATTTTGACGGTTCGGAAGAGCTATAAGCAAGTCCCTACAAATCTATGCATTCCAGTATATATAAGTAATTAATTTATCTCGAGAAGGCCTCTTACATGAAAGGTCTTGTCGCTAATATTTAAAATATCGATATAATGTTTATAACCCCATTTGTACGTAATCCGTACTTATATGTTTACTTTATATTATTTTACTTTGTTGCAGACCTTTTCAACGTGCTTTAGAATATTTTTTCCTCGCCAAAGCGTTACTCTTTTTCTCTGCTTTGGTATACATTCATATGTCGTTTATTAAAAATCCAGCTACATGTTTAGAGCACGTACAAGATTGGCCTAGAGATGGAGTCCTAAGGTATGTAAAAATTCTGTAAAAACCCGAATTAGTATAATTAATCATTTTTATTTTTTTTAGAGTTGAAGTCATTCCTAATTTAGACAAACGCATGGAATTATATGAGGAAAGTCAGGTCTATGAGAGGAATATGCGAAAGCTTTACTATGATTAGTAAGTCTTTAAGTAAATATATTAAAGTAGTACAAGAAGGATTACTTTGCTGCTGCTATAAAATCGTCATTATAATTAATGATAACATGATTTATTTTATTACTTCAATTATGTTTCTCCAATTGTTTTATCTCGTCTTTGTCACATTTCAGTTTTTATGGAATAGGACCTAAGACTAAAAATCAATTGTATCATCACAAATATGCTACAAATGAAACATTTACCTATTATCTAGAACATGAAGAAGTCTATGAAAGTTACTTAAAAGATAAACAACAACAGGCTACTGAATATCATGAGAATCCTGAAATGGAAGATGGTAAGTAAATTTAATTCAAAATATCAGATAATCAACAAGTTTATTCAAATAATATTTTATTTTTCTCCACACAGATGAACAATACATTGTGGAATATTCATTGGAATATGGTCATTTGCGTTTATCACCCGCCACCCGGAAGCGTTTACAAATCCCCGTTCGTGTTGTTCGTTTAGATCCCATGAATAATAAATGTTTTGGTGATAAATTTAGCAAATTTTTACTTAAAGAACTTTTAGGGTTAGTAAATGGAGATTTGAAATGAATATTTTATTTTTGTTCTGAACTTAAGTAATAAATTTCTTTTATATATTTTTTAGCTATGATGATTTACTTATGACCTCAGTACGTGTCATTGCCGAAAAAGAAGAGAATAAGGGCTATTTACGTAATGTCATTACTGGTGAACATTATCGTTTTGTATCGACCTGGTGGACGGCATGGAGTTCATATCCAACGGCATTTTTTGTTATGTTGTTATTTGTAAGTATTAATCGAAGTCATTGGAGACTTCTGAACGAAAGATCTATGAAGAATTCCAATAGGGAAAGGCAAATATTAAGAAGAACTAACGGAGCTAAAAGCTTGGATTTAACAATTATTTTAACATCAAATTAGCGGAAATATCAGTTTGGATTTTGAAAGTATACTTAGGAAAGGTCTTAGTTTATTCTAAATAAAATTTTCAAAGGTCTAGCTGGGCTATTAGCGTGGATTTTTAAAGAATATTTTTGAAGGTATAGAACAGCCGCAAGCATTGATTTTTAAATAATGTTTTGGAAGGTCTAGCAGTGCTATAAGAAAGGACTTAAACATAATTTGTATGTTTTCAGGACTAGCAGCAAGTGTGGATTTTTAGTGAGCATTTTGGAAAGTCTAGCAGAGCTTTAAGCGTGTGTTTTTAAGAAAATCTTTGGAAAGTATAGCCGAGATATAAATCTGCATTTTAAAATAATGTTATCGGAAGGTCTAGCAGAGCTATACGTGTGGATTTGTAAAGAATTTTTGGGAGGTTTGGCAGAGCTATAAACGTGGCTTTTTAGACAATATTTTTGGAAAGTTCCAGCAGAGCTAAAAACGTGATTTTTGATGAATAGTTTCGAATGTCTAGTGTGGATTTTTAAAGAAATTTTTTGAAAGGTCCAGAAAAGCTATGAGCTTGTATTTTTAAAGGATATTTTCGAAACGTCTAGCAGGGCTACAAGCGTGAATCTTTAAGGTCTAGCAGAACTATAAAAGTGGATTTAAAAAATATTTTTGAAGATTTAGCAGAGCAATAAGGGGGGATTTATAAGAATATTTTTTATAGGCCTAGCAGAGCTATAATTGTGGATTTTAAAAATAATAATTTTTTGAAGGTCTGGCAGAGCTATAAGCGTGGCTTTTTGGACGATATTTTTGGGAAGGCCTAGGAGACCTAAAAACATGGATTTTTAAAGAATAAATTTGAATGTGTAGGCTGGATTTTTAAAGGATTTTTTTAAAGGTGCGGCAGAGCTATCAGCTTGAATTTTTAAAGAATATATTTGAAAGGTCTAGCAGACTATATGAATATTTAAAGAAGAGCTACATTTTTTTTTATTTAGAAGTTGAGCGGAGCATCAAACGTGAATTTTTAAAGATTATTTTTTGAAAATACAGCAGAGCTATAATTAACAAATCTATAAGAAAAGAATTTAAAAAATAATTGTTAAGGATCTGCAAGAAAAATTAACTTCAATTTTTTAACAATATTTTTGGAATGTCTAAATCAGTGACAAACAAGGAAGGTTTTTTTTTTTAAATCTATAAGCATAAATTTTTGAAGAATATGTTTTGAATATCATGCTTAGCTAGAAGTGTGGTCATCCATGTATTATTTTTAGAATGTCTAGGTGACCAATCAGTATGTATATCAAATACATATTTTTAGAAGGTCTAACGAAATAATAAGTCTGCATTTTTGGGAATACTATTTTTTATCGTATAAATAAGCGCGGAGTCTTTGGGAATATTATTAAAAGGTTTACCTGTCCTACAATAAATATTTTTTTGAAGGCCAAGCCGAACAATTTTTTATTGGTTTTTTAGGAATATTTTTAGAAGGACTAGTTGACCAACAAGATTGTATTTTTAAATGATTTTTTTAGAAGGTCTAGTGGACTAATAAGCTTGGATTTTATTAATAATTCTTATTTCTTCTTCCTTTTCCCATTTCAGACCTTTTCAATTTCCATGCTGCTGAGATTTTCACATCATCAAATATTTGTGTTTATTGGTAAGAAATAGTTGTTACTTTAATTTTTTAATTCCAATTTAATACAAAATTATTTATATTATATTTTAGTGGACCTTTTGCAAATGTTGGAATTCAATGTTACCGCACGTTTCCCCATAGCCCCTTTGTTAATTGTCATTTTAGCTTTAGTTGGTGAGTACTGAAAATGTTAAACATGATTATTTTTACTATTTGTTATTAAATATTTAATAATGTGAATTTGTTTTTTAGGCATGGAGGCTATAATGTCGGAATTCTTTAACGATACAACAACGGCATTCTATATAATATTAATTGTATGGGTTGCCGATCAATATGATGCCATATGCTGTCACACCAGTATTACTAAAAGACATTGGTTAAGGTAAGTACATACGTTTTTGGGGTTATATATATTTAATACAGTTTATAGTTTTTAAGTCCGGATTTATTTTCTTGAAGATTCCTGAAATTATTAGATGCTTAATAAGATTTAAAATCTATATAATTTAAATGATAATTTACGTATAACATCTATATGTGTCATTGCCGAAAAAACAAGAGAATAAGAACTATTTATGTAATGGCATTATAGGGGAACATTATGTTGTGATTGTGCGAAATTAGTAGAGTATAAGCGTGGAGAATATTTTTTTGGGTTCCAGAGTTTTTATAGAATGTTTTTTGCAGATTTAAAAGCTATATAAGCGCTAATATTAATGACAAATTTTGGAATATTAGGCTGAGCTAAGTGTATATTTTTAAAGAATATTTTTGAGGTCTGCCAGAGCAATAAGCTTGAATTGTTTAGGAATATTTATTGAGGGTCTAAAAGTCCAATAATTTAGGAGTTTTAACAATTATTATTTTTTTTAGCAAAAGTCGAGTGAATAACGGCATACGCTTTCGATAAAACTAATAATGGAAGATGTTTTTAAGAACAGTTGTTCCTATGATCTGTCAGCTCAACAAGATTAAATTTTTTATACCCTTCACCACACTGTGGTACAGGGTATTATGTTTTTGTGCATATGTTTGTAACAGTTAAAAGGAATCGAGATAGACCAATGGTTCCTTTTGAGAATATGCATAGAATCACTTTCTGAGTCGATATAAACTAAGTACAGATCGCATTTATAATCCGATTTGGCTGAAATTTGGCACACATCACTTATTCGGCCCAAGGACGAACCTTATTGAGAGAATTGGAGAAAATCGGTTCACATTTAGATGTAGCTCTCATATATATTTTCGTCCGATTTAATGTAAATGAATCATTTGATTTGTACGAATTTCGGCATAGCGTACTGAATTAAGTCTAGAATGAAGTGTGCTAAGTTTGGTGAAAATGGGTTCAGATTTAGATATATTTCCCATATATAATTTAGCCTGATTTTAGGTAAATGGTGCACCAAAGTCCCTGTCAATCTTACTAAATGATGTCTAGAATAATGTGTGCAAAGTTTCATGAAAATCGATATATATATATATATATATATTTTCGTCCGATTTAAGGTAATTGGTGCAACAAAGTCCCTATATACCTTTCGATTTGCACGATATTTGGCATAGCGTACCGAATTGCTTCTGTAATAATGTGTGCAAAGTTTCATGAGAATCGGTTCGGATTTAGACATAGCTCCCATATATAATTTCGCCCGATTTAAGGTAATTGGTGCATCAAAGTCCCTATATATCTTTGGATTTGAAAGAAATTTGGCATAGCATACTTAATTGTGTCTATAATAATGTGTACTAAGTTTCATGAAAATTGATTCAGATTTAGATATAGCTCTCATATATATTTTCGTCCGATTTAATGTAAATGGTCCACCAAAGCCCCTATATCTCTTTCGATTTGCACGAATTTTGGTATAGCGTACTGAAGGTCATTCAGACCAGTAAGCTTGAAATTTTTAAAGAATACCAAGCCAAGGATTATCATAACAATAATCCTAGATTTTAGCGGGATCAGAGTAAAATATTTAAGTAATAGTTTTAAGCATCAATGATCAATAACTAAGGGTTTTACAGAACCAATTTAAGGGATCTGACTGACTAGTAAAGGTGAATGTTTTAAGAACATTCTCATTAAATGACTGGCAAACTAATCTGATTGGATTTTTTATGGAATATTTATTCAAAGACGAGCAGATTAATAAATTATTTAAAAATATTTGTTAAAAAACCATATAACTTATATATTATAGAATGGAATACATAAATAAATAAGTGTACAAATTTTGATAAACATTTTTCGAAGGACCAATCAGCGTTCAAATTTTTCACGGAATAGTCAGAATATTTTTTTAACAGTATATCAGATTTTTTTTTCAGGTATAGTAGAGTTGATTATACACTTATTTTTTTATATTTCATAATTTTTGTTCCACGTGTTTGAGAGAGCTTATATAATATTTTTTTCATATACCAAAACTCCAACTATCCTTTCCATTCTCTGCCATGAGTTCTGCCTCTATAAATATATGTTTTAATTAAATATTCATTATTGTTATTATTTAGGTGGAAAAGTGTGTGTTTAGCTGTAGGCAAAAATTAATTTTGATCGAAATTTGTGTTTTATTTAGTAGAATTTCCCTTGGCATTATTATGTGACATCACGCCGTTTTGTTAATTAGGTTGTAACCTCCATCCCCGCCTCTCACTTTCTATACCACATCTCTCCATAGAAATCTAATCAACATAGTTTTCCATTCAATTCCCAATTAATTGTGTTTTTGTTGTTGTTGTTGTTCTACTACCGAAAAACATGAATTAATTAATTTCATGAGCTTCCTTTCACAACAGCAAAAAACGATATTATTTACTACCCAAAAACCAAAAACAGCAACAACAATAAAATAAACACATTAAACGGTTTGCTTACACACAAAAAAAATGGTATTTCAATTTCAATAAAATTTCAATTTATTAAAATTATACAAATGTTACAAAAAAGGGCATCAGCTTCTGCTACACACTTCAAATGGTATTCCAACCGACCGACAGACCTACTTAATGTAAGGTCATAATACAGTAATTAGTATGTTATTAATTAAATGTTGTCATAATACCTTTCTAATTCCTGGGTTGTGCCATTACTGGTTCGGCAACGCAACCCCCATCCCATTTCCTCATTACTTTCCCAGTTTTTAACGCTTAAGTAACAGAGGACTTTTTGTTTGTTTGTGTGTTTCCTTCTTATGTTTTAAGTCTCAAAACAAGAGATACAAATTATTCTTAAATAAAACACCACCACCAACAACAACAATCAAGTGGAATTGATAATAATGAGACATAAAATATACAAGAGAGGTGGTTAAAAATAAGTCTTAAATTAATAATTGGGTTTAATAACCGAACGACCAACCAACCAAACCCCTGGCAACACCATCATCTGTTCTTATTTTTTGTTTTGTTTCTTATTACTTGGTAACCAGCAACAAAGTTTATGGAGGGATATGGGAAAATGAAATGGAGAATAAAAAAATCCTGGCAGATCTGAAAAAGAAATTCTATTCTACTACTAGAAAAAATATTCTTTTAAAAATCCACATCTTATTTGCCCGGAAAAAATATCATTTTAAAAATCCGTTCCTATTAAAAACCCAGTAAGGAAAGTAGTAAAGTCGGACTGGTCCGTCTATATGATACCCATCACCACTTTATGTATATTGTACATATGTATCTTAACAATTCATGACAATGTTCCCTCGAAGAAACATACACCTTTCTGTAACCTATGCTAAATTTAATTTCAATCGGGCAGATTAATAATCGTTTGCGTACAATGGGACAAATTTATGGAAATCGATTTATATCAAACTTGAAACACACTACTCAGTATGGCGCACTGTTAAAAATGCTGTCTCAATAGTGTCAATCCGACAAACATTAGGAGTTTGGTGCACCATTTACCTAAAATCGGACGAAAATATATATGTGGGACCTATATCTAGATCTGAACCGATATTCTCTAAACAAAACACACCTCATTCTAGACTCAATTCGTTATGCTATGCCGAATTTGGTGGAAATCGAAAGATATATATGGGGATTTTGGTACACCATTTACATTAAATCGGACGAAAATATATATGGGAGCTATATCTATATCTGAACCGATTTTTACGAAACTTAACACACATCATTATAGATTTAATTTAGCACGCCATGCCAAATTTCGTGAAAATCGAAGAATATATAGGAACTTTGGTGCACTATTTATATAAAATCGGACAAAAAAAATAGATGGGAGCTATATCTGAATCTGAACCGATGTTCACGATACTTAACATATGTAACTGTAGACTCAATTCAATGCGCTATACCAAATTTCGTACAAATCTAATGATATATGGGGGCTTTGGTGCCACATTTTACTTAAATCGGACGAAAATATATATGGAAGCTATATCTATATCTGACCCGATTTTCACGAAACTTAGCACACATCATTCTAAACCTAATTCATTACGCTGTGCCAAATTTCGTACAAATCGAAGCATATATAGGGACTTTGGTGCACCATTTACATAAAATCGGACAAAATTACATATGGGAGTTATATCTAAATCTGAACCGATGTTCATGAAACTTAGCTCACATCATTCTGGACCTATTTCAGTACGCTACGCCAAATTTCGTGCAAATCGAAACATATATAGGGTCTTTTGTGCCCAATTTTCCTTAAATCGGACGAAAATATATGTTGGAGCTATATCTTAATCTGAACCGATTTTCACGAAACTTAACACATATCATTCTAAACCTAATTCAGTACCTTATGCCAAATTTCGTGCAAATTGAAACATATATAGGGACTTTGATGCCTATATCGCACGAAAATATATATGGGAGCATTATCTAAATCTGAACCGATTTTTACCAATAAAATTCAATAGGATTCCTCGTTGGGCCAAATTAGTGACTTGTGCCAAATTTCATCTAAATCGGATAGTAAATGCGACTTTGTTTACAATTTAACGTCTGCAGACGGACGGACATGCATTAATCGACTCAGAAAGTGATTCTATGCATATTCTCAGAAGGAACCTTGTGTCTATCTCGTTTCCTTTTGTATGTTACAAACATATGCCCAAAGACATAATACCCTGTACCACAGTGTGGTGAAGGGTATACAAAATAAAAAAATCGAAGCCAGGTCCTTGAAAAAACATTTTTTAATAAAATCATGCCTTGTTCAGGTAGTCGAAAAATATTTTTAAACGCCTTTTTGATCCTTGAAAATAAAAAAATTTAAAATCCAAGCCTTTTTGATCCTTGAAAAAATTAAAATCTAAATTTAAAATCACGCATTTGATGGGTTTTTGAAAACATATATTTTAAAAAATCAACGCCTTGCATTGGTCCTTAAAAAAATAT